CATCTTCAAATATGACCTCTCACAAAGTTTCAGGACACAGATAAAAAAATGTAGACAAATTCTTCAACAGAATATAACACTAATGGCCCTTATTCCAATTCCCAGTAGATTCCTCATTTTCCTCTGAAAATCCCTAAGTGAAGCCTTTATTGTCCACATTTCTGATTTCATTCTGATCTTCTGACCTCCCACCAAATTGCTTTGCTTTCAGCATTCCAAAATTTCTCTACTGTGCCTCTGCAGACTCTTCCAAGTTCTTCCCACAAACGGGTTAAAAGGCTTTAAAAACACGCACAGATACAACAGTAACCACCCTACTCCTCTGATACCAATTTTCTGTGTCACCTGCCAAAAATACCTGAAAACAACTTAATGGAAGGAATTATTGATGTTGGCTTATAGTTTCAAAGGGTTCTGTCCAGAGTTGCTTGGCTGTGTTGCTTATTCCTTCATTTTTTTTCTCCTTCTTGCTCTGTCCTTCTTTGTTTGTGATATAATTAATGTTAGTATGAAGTTATTGAAGCCTCATAAAAGTATAAAACAATGACTATTATTTCTAATATGCTGCAATGTGGAAAGCATGGCTTTCAAAGGTGAAATAACACCAAAGTCAGACCACTGGTCACACATGGTTTATTTCCCTAGCTGAATAGTCAATTGCTTGACATCGCTGGTCTCTCTTTCTGCATCATCCCTCCCTGTGACTAGCGGTCAGACCTCCAGGTAACAGGCAACTATTGAGAGAAGAAACAATATTTCATTCGTATTCAATCCTTAAAACTCAGTGCTATAAAGGAATGCTTCAGACATATTTTAATTATTACTGGAAACATTACACGGAGAGGAAGCAAATCAATGTAAGATACCCTAAAGCTCTTTGTAAGAAGACCCAACTCAGCCACTAGCCTGAGTTCCAGGGATTAAAATTAATCATTGTTTTGTTCTTAAAGTGTAAGCACAGAAGACAAAGCATGGACAGTAGCAATTAAACATAATAAAATGTTACACTTTTGTAAATGTTAACATGCTATGAGGCTACACTTGAAAAAGTTTTAATTTTTCTATTCGGCTCATACCTCTTTTCCTCTCACTAATCAACAATAGCACCATATATAGGAATAAGCACTATTTTAGAAGTTTTCATTAGAAAGTTTATTGCATTAATCTACAAACTCATTTGGTGATACACAACAATGTAGACTAATGTGGATGAAAGTTTATCATTTGAAAATAAGGTATTTCAGCATGAGAAGCCCTCTTTTGTTTGCTATATCCAAGTAGATCCTAATGCATTTTGCCTTTTTTTCTTATAAAAATATATATCATGGTTTGATTTGGTCATATCAAAATAAAGCCCAGATCAAATACTGAGTGTGAATACATAGACCCTATGTTAGGACACCAGTATCAACAGATCTGTAAAGCTTGCCTGTGTACATCCCTAGAAAAGAAGTTCCCATCTATACATGTGATTCACACTTGCATAGCTACATATACTTCCATGACATAAAACCTTTAGGACCAAAATAGGTCTTAAATATTTAATCTGAAGAGTAAAGGTGTGTTACCAATGGTAACACATTAATTATTTTTAAAAACATAACCCTAAATTTGTTTTTATTGACAATCTTAAGTTTACAGTGAACTTTTACTATTCACATGGATTGTAAATAGCATTGTGATACCCTTATTCAACTTTTCTTTGTGTGTGACCAGTCCCGGGGCTTGGACTCAAGATCTCGGTGTTGTCAAAGATGGCACACTATCGCTTGAGCAACAGCTTCACTTCTGTCTTTTGTTTATGTTGTTGTTTCTTTGCTAGTTAATTGGAGATAAGAGTCTCACAAACTTTCCTGTCTGGGCTGGTTTCAAAATGGGATCCATAGATCTTAGCCTCTTGAGTAGCTAGGATTACAGGCATGAGTCACTGGTACCCTGATACTCTTCTTCAACTTTTAAAGTATTTTTTTTTTGTAAAACCTTCCAATCATTGACTACTATTGTGGCTGACAACGATCAAGGGGATAACATATTCATAAAGTTGTTTGCATTTTTCCCAGCATGCATTGCTTGTGATAATGGATTACCTTGAGACAAGTCATACTGTTCTATTATGCAATGCTATGGTTGGTTTTTCTAAAATTGGTAAATTTAAGTTCCACAAATACAATGCCAAACATAGTAGATGCTATTAACATTACGCCACAAGACGGGCACTAATGTGAAGTGGTATAAATAATGATGGAATTTTCTATCTCATCCTATTATTCAAGTAAGCATATGTAATCATCTGGGCAAGTTCTGGGCAAAAACATAACAGCATGGCTCACGCTTTTATATGACTGGCTCTCGCAAGGTAATCCTCAAACTCATTCAGTGCTTTTACCATGATAGGAGATAAGGGAGAAATTATATCCAAATATCAGGAAGTTTTTCCTTCCTTCTAAATATAACATAGAGTTTTTACAATGTCCAAGGTGTGACGTGTTCTTACAACTGAGAAGCCCCAAGTGGAGTCTGACAGAGTGGCCTTGAACACCAGGCATCACAATCGCTGGAGTTCACATCCGCTCTGTTTCTGTTCAAGTGATCGCAACTTTTCTTTTTTCTTTGTGGAATGAGAAGAGAAATAGGATGGAGAAACTCAGATTTACCATGGAGCACTGAAGAGATGATCCTTAAAAACGAAGGGTTGCAGGCACTAGTAGCTCACGCCTGTAATCCTAACTACTCAGAAGGCTGAGATCTGAGGATCAAAGGTCAAAGCCAGCCCAGGTTGAAAAGGCCACAAGACTTTACCTCCAATTAATCAGGAAAAATGCTAGATTAGAGACGTGGCTCAAGTGGTAGACTACATGAAGTAGTGAATTCAACCCCTGGTACCAGGATTAAAAGAGAAAGGAGAGGAAAATGTCTCTCTTTTCAGCTCACTGAACGTAGTCATTAACTATTAGAATAACTTGTAAAGTGAATTCCAGGCACTTCTGCATTTCCTTGATTAACTTGGCAGTTCTTAAAAATTAAGTGCCACAGGTGTGCTTATTGTATTGTCCACCTGTTTAGACAAGCCACTATCACAGGGACAGGTGTGTGACATGAAATATCTGGTTATGCCAGTTCAAAAGCTGGCAGGGACCATGCTCTTTGGATACTGTCTATAGATAAGTATGTAGTATATAATTATTAGCTGACTCAGAAAGAATGTCCTTCAGGGTTTTTTCTTAATTATTATCTTTAAGTAATGCTATAAAGGACTTGGATTTTTAGAAGATTGAAGAGTACTGTTTTCTCTTAGGAAGCTGTCTCTTCATTCTGCCATTCTGCTTGCTCAAGTAGATCAAAGAAAGAGAAACTGGCTTTTTTACACTACCTTGGCATTCTTACGAGATAAATACGTTGAATTGAAAGATGTTATTACATAAGTGTACGCAGGATCAGTGTTATGGTGGCTTATCTAGAACAGTATGGATTTCAGCTCACTGCAGAATTATTAACAATGCCCTCATCTGCTAACAAGTGTCCCGGATTTGATGGCCAAGTATGTATGTGATCATCACAGTGCAGGTCTCTAGCGAGATCAGTCTGTAGTGCTCAGCACTCATCATGCCCTGGGCTCGACCAAGACTCAGGGAAACCACATGGAAAGGAGCTGCATTTTGGAATATTCAGAATCCTTTCTCATTCACTCAAAAACCATTCACTTGTGGTTATTGTACTATTTTAGTAATGGCCAACTTTAATAGGTTCAAATTATGTATTTTCATTTCCTTCCAAAAGAAAAACCGCATTGCATTTTTATCAAGCAGAAGCTTAATGGCAATAATACAAGAAACAATGAACACATAATAGTTTTTCATGAACAATCCAAACACTACAAAACATAGAATATACAACTTAATGAAAACACAAATTAATGACAAAGGGGGATACATGTCATATTAGCAATGCAAAAGACCAGCTTAAGCATAGTTTCTCTACATCAACAATTAATAAAAAGGAAAGTGCCCTTTTCCATAAAATGCACAAAAATACTTTGGAAATGTCTAGGGAAACATTAATCAAACCTTCCTGCTAATTCTATATTACAGCATGTATGAAGCATCTTCTTATGCTTAAACTTTACAACTGTTACCAGTCATTACACATTAATTGGATCTAGTCTTTCAAAAATAAAATGCTTTTACCTGTCTATTTCTGAAACAATCACTGATATGTGATGACCTCCACGGAGCTGCTGTGTATGACGGAGGTGATGAGCAGAACAACGTCACGGGTCTGAATTGGGCCAAGGGTCAAACAGGGAAACACAAGCCTGTGCCTGGCACAGTTATGTGTTGATTTTTGCAATGCTTTACTATTCCTAAAACAATTCTAATCGTACATTTTCTCATCCTAAGATAACTAAAGTTTTTCATCTTTAAGTTTGCTGACCACGGCTAGTGTTTATTCAGAGTTCCTCCAGTCCTGCCACTGACGGAAGACTTTCCCTGAACGATCTTTGTAAATTCAGAGCCCAACTTGGACAAAACAACAACAACTAAGCAATAAGGACTCAATATTATATGCCTCGTCTCTTCACCATGTTTAATGATTCCCATTTTTTAACTAAGTGAGTTTAGGGAAAACTACACAGTCCTAGGTATAGCTCCACGATGCAAATGAGAAAAGGTATTCAAACGGTCCACGCAGGGATCCAGCCAGTGTCTTCAAAGGCGTTATGCAAGTTCATCTTTTTAGCCAACATCTTCCAAAAAGTCATGCTTCATGGTGCAGCGCTAAAACTACTAGCAAGAGGAAATCATGATGATGTATCTTTCCTTCCGCCCTCCCAGAGATCACCTACACGGAGCGGCAGCCTTGGCTGTGAGCTTTCCGGGTCGCACCCGGCAATTGCCTACCAAGCTGATTAACATTCATGAAAGGCGGCAAACTTGAACAGGGAGAAGAACTGGACTGCAGTTCTGGGAAGAGTTCTTGGGTCACCCAGTGGTCCTTTGGCGTCATTCACTGCTGCTGCTGCTGCTGCTGCTGCTGCTGCCGCCACCATCCTCTCTCTTAGGAGAGGATGAACTGCCCCGGGCTGGCAGCAGGTCATAGTGGCAAGGGATGCGACTGTTCTTTGGCAGGTCGTATGGATCCTGGGTAAGGTGTCCATTATTGCTGAATATTCCTTGGACGACACTCACGGTAGGTTCTGGGAGAACCAGGGACATGTTAATATATCAGGAAGGAAAAAGATGGTCAAAAAAGATGGTACTCCTTGCAACTAGCAAACACATAATATATATCTTCATAAAGAATATACGGAAAAATAGTATTTTCCAAATACGATTGAGCCTGGTGTTGGTGGCCCACCCCTGTAATGCTGGGCACTGAGATTGAACGGCTCACAGTAGAGGCTATCCCAGGCAGAAAAGTCCGTGAGATCCCCTCTTCCTCCCACAGGAGCTGGGCATGGTGGCATGTGCTTGTCATCCTAGTTACAATGGAAGCCTAAAATAGGCAGACTGTGATCCAGCATGTAAATGCCCACCTGGACAAGTGGGACAACCCTATTTCAAAAATAATCAGCACAGAAAAAGGCTCAGCTGGGGTGTGGCACCTGCCTCTCCACCCAGAAGCCCTGAGTGCAGTCCTCACTACCACCGATATGTACATGGTACGTTCACAGTTATGAAAACAGTGGGTATTATAGTGTTGGACCAACTGATACATACACAAATAGTATTCTGAATGAAAGGATGACCACAAAGCTGGGGACCGGTGGCTCATGCCTGTAATCCTAACTACTCAGGAGGCTGAGATCTGAGGATTGAAGTTTGAAGCCAATCCAGACAGGAAAGTCTGTGAGACTCTTATCTCCAATAAACTAGTCAGAAAAGGCCAGAAGTGGTACTGTGGTTCAAGTAGTAGAGTGCTAGCTGTGAGCAAAAGAAACTCAAGGACTGGACTCAGGCTCTGAGTTCAAACCCCAAGACCAGGGAGAGAGAGAAAAAAAAAAGATGACCACATGGTAGGTATGAAGAAATCAAGGGAATAGGTGGAAATACAAAACATGAATCATTGTCTCAAAAATCCCTTGAGAATAATTTAGTTTAAATCCCTGATTCAGAGTTCAGAAGACTTTAAAGTGTAACTCAATTCATGTACATAGTACCGAGGCTGTCATTCTGCAGTGAGTTCTCATTCTCCTGTGATGGGCTTACCAGACAATTTAAAGGGAACTAGTTGCAAATTTAAAATAAAGAAATTAATGCCACCACAGTTTCCACATTAAAAATCTGTCTTAATTCCTTAAAAGTAAATGGTTTCATTATTTTCCATTATATGTCCTGAAGCAAATTATTGGCGTTAAATTGTCCACTTCATTTTTAGAGTTAAAAATCATAAGTACTATGAGAGAATCAGAGAGAGAGGAAACAGAATGACAGAGAAAGTAAAATATAGTCCAACTATCTAGCCAATTGCAAATGTGGTATGTTTTATCTTTTCCCAAAAGGAATTCACAAAGAGCATTCCAAATAACTATGATTTTAAATCAAATTCTTACTAATATGTAGCAGATTCACATTTGAGAATATTTTTGATTTATTAGACAATTTAAATGTTCCTATTCTACTGAAAGCACCATATTAATATAACATCCAACTAGGAAAGGAATTACCTGCATAGTCCACTGAAACCATTTTTTTTTGAGACAATGACTCATGTTTTGTATTTCCACATATTCCCTTGATTTCTTCATTCCTAACATGTGGTCATCCTTTTTTTTTTTTTTTTTTTTGGTTGGTGGTGGGGCTTGAACTCTGGGCCTAGGCTCTGTCCTTGAGCTCTTCAGCTCAAGGCAAGTGTTCTACCACTTGAGCCACAGCACCACTTCCAGTTTTCTGGTGGTTAATTGGAAATAAGAGTCTCACAGACTTTCCTGCCCAGGCTGGCTTTGAACTGCAATCCTCAAATCTCAGTCTTCTGAGTAACTAAGATTACAGGCATGAGCCACCTGCAGCCCCTCCCCCCCTTTTTTTTTAAACCAGTCCTGGGGCTTGAACTCAGCCTGGGCACTGTCCTTGATCTTTTACTCAAGGTTAGCGCTAACACGTGACCCAGAGCACCACTTCTCTTCTGGCCTTTCCTGCGTAGTTTATTGGAGATAAGAGTCTCATGGACTTTCCTGCCCAGGCTGGCTTCCAACTGTGCTCCCTCTTTAGATTTCAGCCTCCTGAGTAGCTAGGCTTACAGGAGTGAGCCACTGGTGCCTGGCACACCATTTGTTTTGGCTAACTTGATACGTGAGCTAATATGATACACATTTACTGTGGTTACAAAATAAAAGGTGGATGAACAGGTAGAAGATTTAGCCGATGGACTTTAAATTGGCTAAATGGTATTTTTCCCGAGAAATAAATTTCACATTGATTAATGTGATTCCTGTGAACACAGTTTGCATGTAAAATACCAGCCATTTAAAATGGTGTGGAAGCCAATCACGTGTGCCCAGTGCTACGACTGTGAGCACTCACCGATTTCATAAACATTCTTGTTGGCTGAGGTTGCATTATTGATCTCGGCATAGGGGGAATCTCTCCGCGCTGGCGACTTCATTTCCACGTAGCCACACTCGGAGGTTTTAGGAAGTAGCACTGGCGGGTCTTTGATGGTGGCGTATGGGTTTTCAGAACTGCTTAGGGAGCAGTTACTTGAATTATATTCAGAATTCTTTCCCAGATCTGTGAGGGAAGATGGGAGGAAAACACAAATGCTGTTTCTTGAGCGTTGTTTTTTGGTGTTGGCAAGTTGTCTTTTTCTTTATAGCTAGCTCCCTATACTTCAATCTGTTGAAACCAGTGGTACATATTTTCTGCTTCTTTTGGAGAGAAAATGCTATAAAATTACTCACAGATTACACTTACACCCATAAAGTCATTTTACCTCCACTTTAAGAGACGTCCCAATGAATACCATGGGCTGATTTGATTCTAATGCTCATATTCAAGTACAGTTAATCCCATTCTGTTTTCCAAATACAAAATGTCCTAGTGGAAGCTTTTGACTTTACAAAGGTTTCAATCTAGAAACCAGCAGTTGATGACCTTGAGATACAAGATGGTTTATACTGTGCTGTAAGATCTTACTCTATGCTTCCATATTAGGGAACCTACATCCAAACATGTCCAGAAGAGCAGCCCTTAGTAAACACATCATCATGCTGAGATCTTCTTATTTTCCTGGCTATTTTATATTTTATGTATTCCTCTCCCTATAACCCTTATTTCTTTTAAAGACAATATGAGTATTTCCACTGCAAACAAACTTTTTTTTTTAACCAAAACTTTTGTTCTAAAAAGATCTGCCTATGGTCACTCTCTTGATGTCAAACAGGTTTGTGTGTCATAGCAATTTACCATGTTGACAGTTTTAAATTATCTTTACACTGTGCTTTTGCTTTGTTTAGAAAAATAAGCCTGTGAGATAATTCTTAAAATTGTGATTCTGATATAAACATTTCATTCTCAACTATATACCCTACCTTTTAAGGATTTTCCCATGTAGCTTCTGTCAAGTCCAAAAGCACCTGTAATGAAGAAAGAAAAACAAAATCACCCTGTGAGAAGAGAAAGGAGGAGAAAACCCACCTAAAGTTCCAGGATCATGGTGGGTGACAATCTTGATCGTGGTGGGTGACAATCTTCCCACTATAACATTCATCAAAGGGGCTAACCAGCTACTGACCCCACTACCATAAACATGTGTAACACACACACACACACACACACACACACACACACACACACACACACACACACATATGATCATCACTTGCTCTTTCATAAGAGCTCCAGGAAAGGCTGATAAACTCAGGCACACCTAGGGAGTGTTAAATCCATGTATATGACTCAAAGTTGCAGAGGAGGAAAGCCATAGCCAAGGCTAGAACTGAGAATTGACCTACAAGGGCAGCTCTTAGGAGGCCCTGATGGTTTTTCCCACTAACTGGGATATTACCATCTCCACAGTAAGAATGTTTTCTGAAAACTGGAAACATCAAATACTCATTGTTGGGTAACATGCTACAGGCCAGTCCTAGATCTTGACTGTTGGTATGCAGTTTTTATCTTAACAATTTGATATTTCTAGATGTGGGGACATTGGGGTCTGAGCCTGCCTAGTGGCTGCATCGTAGCTTTCTTGTTTTAGAAGATCTGACCTTCAAAGGGGAAGGGCTGGCCAAAGGAAAATTACTCCTGCTCACACTAGGAAACATGAAGTATGCTGTCACGGAACACACGCAACCATTTGCTTAAACCAATGAATTCACAGGTATCAAAAAGAAAAGACTTCAGTCACAGATGCATGTATCCACAATGTTACTAAGAAGACCAGAGACCCTTCCTTACTTAGTCCATGTTACACCACCTGGTGTTGGTGCATTGTTAGCATTAAACTAGAATCAGGAATTCTATTGGGTCTCATCGCTTTTTAGTCATGCTGTTTCTGCCGTGCTGTTCAGCACTCTAAGCATCTCTCAAATGGGGGATACAAAACCTGTCTTCCGCCATCCAAGGTGGTTGTCATCGTTTAGGGAAGTATGGCTCAGGTAAAAGCTTTGTGAATCTCAAAGCACCAAATCAATGAATGGAGTTTTAATTTCTGTGGCAATTAAAGGGGCACACACTCAAGAAACAGCCCATTTGAAAGTCATTCAAGGGACCTTTGATGAAAAGGAATGTCATATTCTTTTCTAGGTCGATCAGCACCTAGTTAAAAGTCAGGAGTAATAATGACTTGTTATGAACAGTCCAAGTAAGTATGTGAGAATATTGAAGAAGTAATAGCCACCCCAATGATATACTTCTTCAAGTGATTGTTAAACTCGGGTTCAGATGCTGATGGCCCACTGGGAACACTGAATAAAGAGAAAGAGAAGGAAGAAGGCATGTCTAATACCAGCCATGGTGGAACAGAAAAGGGGAATATTATTTTCTCCTTGAGTGTATTGTCTTGGTCTGGGTTACTAGCAATCGAGCCTAGCTCCAAGTTGATGGAGGAGGCATAATGTTATATAAGGACGCAGGATAAAAGGGTTTGTAGCAAAGAAAGAGAAATTTTACCAAAGAGAAATTTAGTCTTTGCTCTCAGCTCCTGAGACATGATCCCTAACTCCCTGGAAATTCTGCCCACAGAAGTGTTGCTTGACTTGGATCTGAGGCAGAAGCTGTGGGAGATGGCGGACTCAATGATTTCGATGGTGGGTTGGGTCATATTCTGTCATCTTGTCCTCCAGTCATGCACCTGCGCCACCAATCCTGCCCAGACGATAGGCCCTAAACCTGGACACCATTTCTCTAACTGGCCTCCTGAGATGATGACCTAGCAGAGTAATTTTGTAACTTTAGAGTGAAGAGAGGAGCTAGAACGCAGCACTGCCGGGCAGAGAGCTGCTGGTCTAGCAATCCCTGCCGCACACACACGACTCAGAAAGCATTTGTTGCACAAATCAAGCATGCCCCATGGAGGTGCTAGGCAGAATCCCATCCTCTGGGCTTTTGGTGCCTATTCCCAGTAGGCCTCTGGGTTCATGCAGGGCACCGGCTGGCACCGGCCTCACACACCGAGCTCATTGAGGTAGCCGCCCTGCTTCCAGTCCGCAGGCAGCGTCCCGGCACAGTCCACCACGGGGCCTCTCTTCCCAGGGTTCACGCTTTTAAGATTCACAAACAGCTGGTTGTTCTTTGCCTAGGAGAAACAGAAACGGTAGACATGTTAAAAAGGCAGCACTGTGTGCCACGGTGCACTACCTGTCTGGTGAAAAGCAAGTCCGGGGCCATTGGAGAAACACACTCTCCAAAGCACTAAGCCAGCCTGGAGGTGAGAGGCCATGACTCCTGGAGGCAGAGAACCTGCCTTCTGCACGCCAGCCCTGTCTCCACACCGAAGCTCTGCCTTTCACACCCTCATACAAAAGAGTGCCTCTCTTGGGTCTCTGCACATGGAATTTCGAATCGGACACTGGATGAATTCTGGATCTAAGGTTTCCCATTAAAATATGCATGATATTGCCCGTGTCTCTAGAATCTGCGGTCTTCCTGACACACAAACTTCCCTGAATCTGCCTGAGGACAAGGGGAATGATGAATCTCCGGAGTGAGAAATGCTATTTAACCACTCAGCACTGTAATCAAAGTCTAGCTGCATTAATTTAATGACAAATGGATTAAATTAATTAGCTCATTTTTTTCTAGATTAAGTTCATGGAGAAGTGAAGAGTGATGAGACTTACAATGGAACTGGAAGCATTATTTGGGTACAATGGGAAGAGCGTGAGGTGTGTGGGTCCAGAGAATTGTGGGAAGAATTGAAGGGTACAGCTGGAGTTTCCAGCCTTCCTCGACTTGGCTTCCTCATCTGTAAAATGGGGTAGTAGTCACACCAGCAGGCGTGACATTGCTGCGAAGATGGAGCAAGTTCCTCTTGCAAGGTGACTAGGAATGCTTGGTGTGCAGTATTCACTTGTTACTATTTGGCCACTTGGGGCTTTGAAAAAGTAGCAGTTTTATATGATTCAACCCACACAAATGTCACTAAAGTAAAAGGACTAGGAAAGGGTACTGGAAAGGGTACTAGAAGAAAGCTAATCTGGAAAGACAAACTTGATGGTTTTATTCAGGATTGAGTCTGCTGTATGTCTTTAAGTTTTTTTTTAATTACTATCCAAGCCCCACAACTGGCAATAAAGTCAAAATTAAAAATGAATGTCACAATAGTTTATTTTACAATCTTAAGTTAAATTAGAAATATTTTTGGTGTGAGTGTGGTAGTATACTACTGTAATCCTAAATCCTTGAGAAGCAGAGATACGAAGGGCCACAGTTAGAGGCTAGCCCCAGGATCTGTTCAGGAAGACCTCATCTCAGTCTATATGCTGAGTGTGCTGGTGTGGACCTGTAACCCGGGCTTTGTGAAAAGTATAGATAGGAGGATCACTGTCCAAGGCCAAGTCCCTCAAGTCAAAAAAAAAAAGAAGAAGACCCTATCTGAAAAGTAAATATAAGCAAAAAAGCTGGGCGCATGGCTCACACGGTAGAACACAAGCAAGTATGAGACACTTCCCTCCAAATAAAAAGGTCAGGAGCACTTTCCCAAGGAGGTGTCATGGAAGCAACACCGACGGTGGATAGATATGGAGCCTGGCCTCTCGTGGCAGCTGCCTCACTCACCAGCTAGGAAGAGTCTGGGAGTCACCAGGGGTCCCCATTTCTGAGGATGTGGTTAGTGCACTGGAGGCGCTGAGACACGTCCAGAGGACCGCTAGCAGAATCGTGCGGACCACGCATGTGAATTACCTAGGGCAGTCTTCATTATGCTAGTTCCCCCCCCAGCCCCTCTCACCTTGGCGATGGTGAGCGTCTCCCTGTTGTTGAAGTGAGGGGAGGCGGCACGCTGGGTGAGCGTGTGGTAGCTGGGGTTGGTGAAGTAGTGGCTGTTACCATTCCCACCGCTGCCGTGTGGCAAGGTTTCTGCAAGAAGAAAAGGAGACAGGTCAGACACGGGCTGCTGCAAATCCACACAGCAGGAGGGAATCGAAAGCAGCAGTCAATACGGTATTTGGACTGCTTTCCTATGTCTCAGCCCCTCAGACTGTACTGCTGGCTCACGCCTGCATTTAGCTATTCAGGAAACAGATCTGAGAACTGTAGCTCAAAGTCACACGGAGCAGAAAAGTCTGTAAAATGCTTATCTCCAATTAACTGGCAAAAAACCCAGACGTGGTAGAGCATTAGCCTTGAGCAAAAACCAAAGGCAAGGAACAGCAAACAGGCGCTGAGTTCAAGCCCCAGTTTCACTCACATATGCACACACACACACACACACACACACACACACACACACACACACACACACAGAGTGCAGCCCATTCAGCAATGCTCCTGGAGATCGCAGCTAGGGCTGCCTGCCTGTCTTCTTGTCAAGTATGAACATATCTACAGACAACTGTGCTCAGCTTTGGGGCTTGTAAGAGCTCAGTGGCCTTATTAGAAGCTATTTCTGCTGTAACAGTCTCTTTTCCTTTTTTAAACAAAATATCTGGTTTCTCGACACAATTCTGTACTGAACATACATACCTATCAGCTGCTTGACGTATTTCCTGAGGATTATAGCATTGATAAACATGTAACTGAAATCCTCAAGCAACTGCTCTAAATTAATAAATATTTTAGGTTTTCAGGCCAAGCACAGTGGCTCAAGCCTGTAATCCTAGTCAGTTGGGAGGCAGAGATGGATCGTGGTTCAAGGCCTGCTTGGATGTTACAGTTCAAGAGACTCCATTTGAACCAATGACTGGACACAGTGATGGATGCCTGCCATTCCTGCAATACAGGGAGGCACGAGGCTCATAGTCCAACCCAGCCCAGTATGGGCATCAAGCAAAGCCTGCCTTGGCAATAACCAGTGAAAAGGGGACTGGTGGTATGACTCAATTGGTAGAGGACCTGCTAAAGCGTACACCTTCTAGTTAAGTGGTGACTCCATCTGATGGCTAAATGCGTCACAAAATTACTTTGCTTCTATGGGGACTTGTGACAGATTCTAAAGAGGTTTCTCACAGTCTTGGTTATGGCTCATACCACCACCAACAAAAACAACAACATTTCCTATAGCAGTTGCTTCACCAGTTACCGAGTTGTGTGAATGCTGGGAGAGGTGGGAAGATACCATAGGAAACATCCAGGAGCAGAGGCAGGAGACCTGCCCCACCTACCCGATCCTCTCCAAGACCTTGGTAAACTCATGGTCCTTGATCCTTCTCTATCCTCTCATCCACGACAGAAGCTGGGACTTGGTGCGTAGTAAAGCCTACCTGCTTTACATCTAAAGCAAGCCCAATTTTAAAAGCCTTAGAGAAAAATAAAATGACAGAGGAAGGCCAGGTGTGGTAGCTTCATTCTGGAATCCCAGCCACTTGAGAGGTAGTAGATCTCTGTTCAAAGACATTGCGGGCTAAAAGTGTGAAGTCTATATACAATATAACTTAACTAAAACCAAGAAGGCTTCGGGGCGGGGCTCATGTGGTAGTGACTATGAGGCCTTGAGTTCAAAACCCAGGATTTCCAAGGCAAAAGATAATGACTTGAAACCCATGGTCTCAAAGAACCAGCATGGAGAGGCCTGGCTTTCCAGGGTCTGTGACCCCTTCCACTCCCAGTCTTACCTGCCATACTGTAATCCGCATTGATGACCCTCATGGCCGGGGTGTAGCTCACGGCTGGCATGCTCGAGTCCTTTCCTTTCTGCTTCTGTCTATAAATAACGAACAAGGCCAGGAGGAAGATGACCACGAGGACGAGGATGATGATGCCCGCGATGGCCCCAATCTGGTAGGAGTCGGCAGGGAGGGCAGTACTGGTGCGGCTCAAGCTGTTCAGGTTCCCCACGATAATAACTCCGGCTGGAAAAGCAGGGAAGGAAGGAGCACCGAGTAGGGATGAGGGCGCATGGATAAACGGTTTATCTTTATTCCCCAAATCCTCCCACAGTGCCAACGCCTGGGGGTTTTCAGCTCATGAAATGTTCATTCGGAAACTTTTGGGAAAGAGAAACATGTTCTTCTTCATTTTCAGCCAGCAGCCTGGGAGTTCTTGAAGAAGGGCCGAGGTAGAGTCAGAAAGACCAGTTCAAAGAATCTTTGAACGCAAAGATTCAGAAGCCAGGTTCGGGAGCTGTTCCTATATTTCAAATTTAAACAATTTTAGATCATGACTTACCTAATTCCTCTTTTGGCTTCGTTTTCAAGTACCGAGCTTAGGCAGGAGTAAGACCTAGATGCCCAACTGGCTAAGTTAACCTCATATTTATCCTTAATATTGCTAAGAATGATTTTTTTTCCCAAGCGAGTGAGCACTAATTCCATTATAAATCAAGCCCAAGGACTAAATCCAATAAGGCTTTTATCTCAGGAGATATTGTTCTGGGAAATTATATTTTCTGAGACAGAAGTATTTCCCTAAATTGTACCTGATAATAGCATCCTTTAGCCTTCCTCACGGTGGTGGTTAATCCTTTTTTCTCTGTGGTACTAGGGTTTGAACTCAGAGTCTGGGCCTTTAGCTTTTTTACTCAAGGCTGGTGCTCTACCATGTGAGCCATACTTCCACTTCCAGCTTTGTGCCATTTAACTGGAGATCAGGGGCTTTTCTGCCAGGATAGCTAAGAACCTAAATTCTCAAATCTCAGCAATAGCTACTAGCATGGTGGTTCATCTTAATCATCAACCTGATTGGACTAAGAGACACCAGGAAAATTATTAAGCATGCCCTGGAGGTGTCTGTGGGGGGCATTTCCTTGCCTGTTAGGTCTTGAGAACTGTGACCAAATGCATGGACTAAGACCTGATGTATTGTTCATAATACCCTGGCATTGAGGGACAGTAGGGAAAGGCAGGATGTGGAGCAAGCTTGGAGGAAGCAGGGTCACTAGCGTATGCCCTGAAGGGGATATATCTTGTCCTGAACCGTTCCTGTCCTTCCGTCTCTCTGCTTCTGGCCGCCATGATGTTTTACCCAGGCACATGGGGCCAAACCATCATGGAATGCACTCTCTAAAAGCACGAGTTAAAATAAATCTTCTGTCCTTTAAGTTGTTTCTGTCAGGTCAGAACAATGAAAAAGGAACTGAAAGAGTCATTAAAGTCAACATGCAGCTCTATCGGCTGCTTCCTTATGATCCATCAAGCGAGGAAGGAAAAGAGAATTATGAACTGAGAACGGAGAAATGGGGCATCTGAAAAATGATCCAGATCTCCCGAACTTTCCCTTCAGTGCTGAGGCTGCAGTTTCATGATCCGTGCGTGAGTAAGGAGAATGGCTTCACACATAGCTGCTTTCGCATCAGATGCATGGTCTTACTATTTCATGAATCTGAACCATAGGAGGATACCTTCTTATGAAACACTGATCTGGAAGCCTGAGGATGGCGAGTTCAAGACCAGTCTTTGCTACAGGGTGAAACCCTGACTCAAAAATTACAAAACATAAAACAGGCTGACACAAGAATCTGCCTTGGAACTAGAGCAGGAGGCTGTGAGCTTGCAATGTATTTGTAATGATGACTAGATTATGGGTAGAGCACCTATCTGATGGTGAGTTCAATTAAATATAAAACATGCAGAAGTATGCAGAAGTCACTTTGTGAGAGAAATCAAACATTGCACATACACACTCTTATGTGGTCTGCAGTTTAGGATGAGCCTACCTACAAACTGCAAATGTTCTAAAGTCTAAATGTTCTAAAGGGGAATCTGGGGCCCAGTACTACTTTCTGAAGGGCCTATTCACCCCAGAGTCAGAATTCCCCAACTGAGACTATGTATATGACAAATATTTCTAGGTGATTATGTGAATCCTGCTTTAAACCATGGGCACACGTTTCTTAAAAAGTCATGTGATGCTGTGACTCAAATGGCAGAGCTCCAGCCTTGAGAGAAAAAGCAAAGTGACAGGTCCTGAGTTTAAGCCTCAATACTGACACAAACAGAACAAGAAGCACACAAGTTCTTAAAAAGTACAACGCATGGCTTTCGTACAACTCCTTGTCAATCTTTGTATCTCAGGTATTTGCCCATGAGAAATGAAAGCACAGACCAAACAAAGATTGATGCACTATTGCTCATAACAGCTTTCACAGTAATTACACCAAACTGGAAACAATGCAATGTCTACCAATAGGTTTGTGAGGCAACCAACTATGGTATATCTATTCAATGGAATACCATACAGCAACAAAAAGCTATTGATACATAAAACAACATGGTTGAGCTGGGCGTCGGTGGCTCACGCTTGTAATCCTAGTTACTCAGGAGGCTGAGATCTGAGGATGGAGGTTCAAAGCCAGCCTGGGCAGCAAAGTCTATGAGACTCTTATCTCCAATTAACCACTAGAAAACTGGAAGTAGTGCTGTGGCTCAAGAGGTAGAGTGCTAGCCTTGAGCTGAAGAGCTGAGGGACAGCGCCCAGGCCCAGAGTTCAAGCCCCACGACCAGAAGAAACAAAACAAAAAAATGGTTCAATTTATAACTATTTATGTTGAATAAACAAAATGAGACCTAAAAGGAATACAGTATGATTCCATTTAAATAAAATTCTGTCAAATGCAAATTAATCTGGAGTGGTAGAAAGCAAATCAGTTACTGTCAGGGGCCTAAACAGTAGTAGGGGCAGGAAGGGGCCTGAGGAAGACTTACATAGATGATGGCAGTAGATTGTGGCAGTAACTTCATGAATATGGATTCATGGTTGATTTTTAAAATCAAATTGTTTAACTAAAGTATATTGTATACTAACTATACCTCAGAAAAGCTGAAAATACCACTGGCCCCATAGAAAGCTCATGAGTTTAAGAACAAGAGAAACTTGGCATCAAAGGCTGTGACTGCCTATGGTGACCTTAAAGAAACCATTCAACTTCTCTAAGTCTTAGTTTCTTTATCTACATGAAATGAACACCCAGTTCTACCAGTTACGTGCAGAGTTGTAATGAGGGCTACTCCAGGCACGGGCTGTGAGTTACTTCCCGTGCACTGGAGCCCTCTCGGGAGGAGGCAGTGGTGGTTATATACCACGCTCCCTACCTTGATCACAGCGCGCCCCCTTCCAGCCAGGGCTGCAATAACAGGTCCCGGTGATGTGGTCACAGGTGGAATTGTTCAGACAGTCACATATCTGGCGGCAGCCATAGCCGTAAGTCCCAGCAGGGCACTCTGGGGAAGGAGATAAGGTCAACTTAGCGCCAGCCCTTGGGGAATCTGCCTTCTTCCGTGTACCCCTGAGCCTTTGGAGTGAGCCTTTCAGGAAATTCCTGTGCAGACAGACGCAGAGCCCAGGGAATCGCAGAGCTGGACAGCAATTTCCAAGTCATGACATGACTACGTCCAGTGTAGAGACTTGAGCCGCTCAACATCCTGGCTTTGATAGGGAACGGGTGATGCTTGTACGGTGTGTGGAATTCCCATGAACGAACAGGTTGTCACAAAGATGAATTTGAGGTGATTCCTTCGGGCAAAATTGGGGGCTGAAAGAAACTAGACTGACAAATATAACCTAGAGCTGCTTCCCTGAGAACATGGAGATTTTTCTGAAGGCTCAGGTGCCTCTCTAGCGGCATATCCTCTCTCAGATTAGCTAGGAGGAATCGAAGAGGGGGAGAGCAAATTGTGTTTATTCTCTAGGTGACCACTGTATTTACCACAGAATGATTCAAACTCTGGATTCACAGGATTCAGTCTTGGAGACTAAAATGGTAGGGTTCTCATGTAGTGTAATAAGAGCTGGGCATAAATTTTGAAGAACACAGCATAATTGTGTGAAATCTGACCATCTCCACGACAAAAGACTTGTGTTCTTCGTAAAGTGAGCAGCAGGGGGCACTGTGCTGTTATTATCAGAGTTCTCTGCAAAAACAGGCCTCTGTTTACAGTGAGCACTAGAAGTCTTCCAAGATACAAGGACATTTTAATCTGATGTCCAGAGTAATCACGGAAGCACTTAAAAAGGTTTTTATTTAATGAGACCTGAACAAGTTGCTTGGCATGCAAGTGAAAGCTCAGAGTCCATTATGGCTTCTGGGCCCATGTGTAACCAGGTATACACAGACACACAATACTTACACACACAGAAGGAAGGCAGTGTGTGTGACTGTGTGACTCTGTGTCTGTTGTTGACTGAATGAAACAGCAAGGTAAAACTCCCATCCCTGTCTGAAGCTGGTTCCTGGATCTCCTGCTGTATTTTCTAAAGATCTGCTAGAACTTGGCACAAAACACCGAGAGCTCCATGCCATTGGACTGGGCTTAAGGGGAAGGAAGCTTTATTGCCAAAGTCCTGCTCTGATCAACCCCTTTCCCAGTCACATCACTCCCGCAGCCATGCCATGTTGGGGACATTGTCCGTAAGTCTACCCTCTGGGGAGTGGAGAGCCGTGTTTCACTGTCTTCACTAGGAGGGCTTTAGGATAAGAGAGCGTGCCCCTCATAGTTCTCGGTACTTGCGTGTTCATCCTGAATTCTGGATGAATGTCATCCAGGAAACGAACGGTACACTCACTTGCACGCTTAGTTTAAGGCTAATGTTCTTACTACCTTGCAAGCAGATGTATGGTTTATGAGGCAGAAATGGAAAAACCAGATGGGTTGTTCCAGTCGATCATAGTCTCCCTGAGTCAGATTAATTCTTCTTTTTATTTGATGTTGTCTTGAATCTTAAGACTTAAATGATTGGCTGTTAGATGAAAGACTGTAAAAGTTGTGAAAAGAAGCAACATTTGCCTAGAATGTTCCCACTTGGGCTACCTGGGCTGGCCTTGGGTCCCTAGCCCTCCTCCCTGTCTCATGCCCTGCCTCTGATTGGAGGCCACGTCCACTCCGGTCACAAACACAGAGTGACGGCTGCTTTTAAGGTTCTGAGCACCTATGCTCCAAAAAGGAAGAGAGATAGAAAGAGCCACAGTGATTCTAATGGAAAACCTGCATTCCATCTTTGTTCTTGGAGTCACCCCTCTTCCCTCCAAAGGGCCGAGGAGTTACTCAGAGGAAACACCTGGAAGAAAGCCAGTTTATGAGGGTCCCAGGGAGGCAGATCTCTGGGAGAGGAAGTCAACCAGGGTGGTAAGTACCTAACCATCTGCTTCACAACTTAAAAGCAGTGATCCTTCTGCCTTCATAACTCAGGGGCGTAAGGAAAGTGAAGTCAGGCGGGTACTCACTCTGCTCACAGTGCCGTCCCATGAACCCCGTGCGGCAGGTGCACTGCCCGGAAATGTGGTCGCAGTCGGCTCCGTTTTGACACTGGCAAATCAAAGCACAGTCCTTGCCATAAAACCCCAGAGGACATCCTGCAGGGGAAGGGAGGACGGAGGAATCAGAGACAGAGCTCCTGCCTCCGGCATACTTGTGTTTAAAGTTAAAGGAAGCTGAGTTAATTGTGCATATCTCAGCCTGGCGTGGGGCCTCGCAGGAGCCCCCAGTAGAGCCTTGCAGGGAAGTATAACCCACACACAGGAGGCAGGAGACAGATCCCAGTTCATGTAACCATCACTGGTTCCCTTGGAGGCTAAGCTAGTGTCTTCCCATTAAGCCTTCCTTAAAGCCTGTGCACTGTGGGATTATTCCTTCCATTCATCATTCCAATTACTAGGCTTCTGGACTCAAGTTCCCTAGACTGAAACGATTAAAATTATCTGTATGCTTTCAAATCTTGGTTCTATAGCTACCCGTCTCCTCCCTCCCACCCCACTCCACCCCCAACCCCTTTACAGAAAGTTCCAGTGTTTTTCAAGGGTTATTCTTTTGACTGTATTTCCTGGTCAGTATTAAATAAGAATTAACTAACGTTGGACCCATCTTCCTGCCTCAGTCCATTGCCATATTTTAAGAGTATTTGTTACTATTCATAACTATAACGTATGCCTTCCTGTTTTATCTCCTTTATCACGTGGAAGCAAGAGAAGCAAAAAATAATTCCCAGTGATGCTTAGCTGTGATCCTCTGCCCATGATGTTAAAAGCTTCCTGAAGAAAAATTGGTTTGAAGCTAGATCGGATGAATCACGCCTCTAACTCCTAGCTACTCAGGAGGTTGAAATTTGAGGATCTGGGTTCAAAGCCAGCCAGAGCAGAAAAGTCTGTGAGATTCTTATCTCTAATGAACCCGAAAAAAGCTGGAAGTGGAGGTATGACTTAACTGGTAAAGTGTCAGCCTCGACTGGAAAAAGCTGAGTTCAAGCCCTCGTACCAGCAAAAAAGAAAAGAAAATGATCGTATGAGACTCAAACGGGCAGAAATACAGATCCTTAAGTTCCCCTCAACCAGACAACAGGTTGGGGGAGGCCCAGAGCTGCGTGTTTATCACCTGTGGGTGATCATGAACCTCACTAAGCGTGAGAAACATGGAACTCCATCTACTCCCAAGGGCACACAGCAAGTATGAACTCTACAAGGAATGTCCATCACGTATCCTAGCCTTTGTGCAGTTAGAATAAATGAAAGGCAAATGGATCCATGTAATTACCATCTAGTTAAAGGAGAAAAGAGAAGTTGCACAACAGCCTGTACAATTATGCTCCACCTAGGTGTCCTGAAGTGATCTAAAGACGGAGTGCATGGAGCCCCGTAGCTCTTTGCTATTTTGAGAAATGTAGATGTTTTGAGGCCATGGGGTAGATGAAATATTCCCTTCCAGCAACCCTGGTGAGCTCAGACCACACAGGCAAGATGAGGTTCTAGCTTCCCAAGCTGCAGAAGGCTCCTTGCTTACTCTGAGTACAGTAGAGTCCAGTCCAGCCAGGAGTGCATTTACATTCCCCATCGTAGGCGCTGCAGAAGGCTCCGTTGTGGCAGTTACAGGTGTGGATACAGTTCGGGCCCCAGTGAGCTGGTGGACAGGCTGAAACCACAGCAGGTATGGACAGGTGTGTGTTAGAGTCCAGTCAGCACTGAGCAGAGGGGCCCAACCACCCGAATGGGGCTCTTTGCAGGTGAGGACTTGGCGGTGTACATCAGGACTCAGAAAGCACAATAAATCCTCCGTCCAGGGCAGAGAGCCTGAATGTGCAGGGAAACCCACCAGGTGGAGTTGACTGCGAAGGGACCGTTACATATAGACTTCAGTGAGTCAGATGACCAAGCCACCTCTCAAGGTTGTAGATTCCGTGTGTTTAAGTTACGTGTGTTACATACACGTTCTACCCCTATGCTGTGCTGCCATTGCTCTTGGCACAGAGGAGGCAGCAGAGGACAAACCACCTCCCGATCACTGGAAATTTAGGAGAGTAGAAAATTTAGGGGAGCTAACCAAAGAAGCAATGGTGGCAAGAGGTATGGAAAAAGAAAGCGGGGTAAGGAAGACAGCACGATGGGGTAACTTTTAAGCATGTCCTCTCTGAAGAAGGCACCTTTGAGCAGAGATAAACGGGAAGCTGAATGCTGACAGCTCACTCCTGTCATCCTAACTACTCAAGGCTGAGAGAGGAGAGCAAGGTTCGAAGAATGCCAAGGCAGGAAAGTTCAGGAGACTCTTAATTCCAAAACTGGAAGTGGAGCTATGGCTCACGTGGTAGAACATCAGCCTTGAGCCAAAAGGCTAAGCAAGAGTGCAAGGCCCTGAGTTCAAGCCCCGTTCCCCACACACAACCAGAGGGAGCAAGGATTTGACTTAGGTGCCTTAGGCCATGTCGTTTGTGGCTTTGATTTCCAATCAACTGTAGCTCACAATTGTTGCCGCAGGCTTATTATCCTGCTCCCATCAGATTTAGTTGACTCACGGAAACTAGTAAGTGGAAGCAGCAGAGACAATCAAATGAAATCATGTGGCGTCTTTGCCAAACTGAAGCGCAATAAGAGAGTCAGATATGATTCTGTGGAATTAAAATGGGAGACTGTGGGGTAAAGTCATTTGATTTGCAAGAGGTACTTTTTATTCCTAGTAATACTTCAGAAATCAACAATTGATTTTTTTTCCTTTTGACAGTACTGAGCTTAGAACTCAAAGCTGTGGGCTTATAATCAGGTCCTCTTCCACTTGAGCCATGTCTCTAGCCTTATTTTTTAAGAACATGTTTACTTAAAAGGAGAACTATGTATAATTTCTATATGATTATTCCATAGAAAAGATGAAGCAATAATGATAATAAATGAATCTGAAGTAGTTTTAAGAATGAAAGAAGGATCTCTCATAAATGTGCTTTTTTTTTTTTTACCCAAGAGCAAGAGAAAAAAAAGTAACGCTTGACATTTGAGGTGTAGAAAGACCCTCATTTAACAGATGAGGAAATTTTGGTTCAGTGAAAGCTAAACAGTGACTCTTGTCACACAGATTCATAGAAAGAGAAATATTTGTTGTTGTTGTTGTTTTCCTATAAGAACAACTTCACTCTTAAGGGTACAGCAAGACTCAGAGAGAGGCCTGGGGAATTGTGACTTAGTGGTAGAGTATCTGCCTATGAAGTGCTAGGCCCTGGTTCAAATGACAGTACTTCCAAAATACAAACAAAACGTAACAACAGAAACAAGATCTAGGGTGAAAATGACTGACCTGCTCAGCCTATCTGTGGCCACACGTGGACCTCTTTACCAAATCAACCTGCTCATATACTTACCATGTATTTGTCAAACATGTATGCCCATAATGTATTGTTCTATGGTAAACCACTTTGCATTATTAGTCTTTAGACTTATATCAGTTATGATTAGAGAATGGAAATGAAGATCACTCCGATTTTATATTCCCAAGTGGTATATGAAGAGACAGTCTTCAAGAATTCGTGTTGTCAAAGACCTCTGCCTCTTTAAACACACGCTTTAATTTCTCACAGTCTCTGTTTCACTGAGGAGAGTGCCACGGAGCCCAGAAGGGAACCAGTGAAATTAGTGATCCCATTAGAGACAAAACAAATAAAAAGCAAAATAAATCAGCTTCCACAGCAGCGCTGATAGGAACAAGCAGATCATTGTCCCCATTCAGAGTGGTGTTCCTGTTTCCGTCCTTCTAGCACATTCCTCCTCAAACAGGGACAAGAACAACTTCCAAAATGAGGCGTATCTTTTTGCTCCTCTTTATGCTGATACTGGAGCTTGAACTCAGAGCCTGGGCACTGCCCTTTAGATTTTTTTTTTTTTTTTTGCTCAAGGCTGACACTCTATCACTTGAGCCAAAGCTCATTTCTGCCTTTTGCTGGTTAATTGTAGATAAGAGTTTCACAGACCTTTCTGCCCAGACAGGTTTTTAGTCTTAATCCTCAGATCTGTCTCCAGAGTAGTTAAGATTACAGGTGTAACCAACAGCACTTGGCAGAAAAATATTAAATTCAGAGAGAAACTGAAAAAATAGATATTTCTCATTGGTTAATACCTAAAGATGGACTTTAACTAGAGTACGCATTAAATAACAAATGGTCCATCATGTAAAATTAGTACATATTCATTTTCTGATTTGTCTTACGTGTGTGATACAATCAGTACAAACTGAGTATGTGCTAGAAAACTTACCATGAGTAAAACTAGATTAGTCCCATAAGTACCTTGGTCAAAAGTTGAATACTTTTAGAAGCTTCTTTCAAAGTATGAGCCATGGCTTACAGTCAACACCATCAACCAAATGGTGGCCTGGGTAATCTGAGTGTTGTCATGGTGACATGGGACCCTTATCTGAATGCAGTGGAGACAGGGAGCAGGAGGGAGCCAAGGGAGCCAGGGTGGCGCTTCACTTAGACAAGTCTGCGCAGGAGCTCAGCAGGTGCCTACGCTCACTTTCTCATTCCACCTCTCCATAGAAACACAAGGTAGGGACAGACTTCCTCCTCCTCTCCCTCCTCCTTCTCTCCCCTCTCCTCCCCGTCTCTTTTTCTACTTTCCCCCTTTCCTCCACCTTTCTCTCTCTTTCCCTCCTTCTTTTCACCTACATAGAGTCTTATTGGCCTCAAAGTGGCAATCTTCTTGACACTGCCTCTGGAGTATGAGCGTTAAAGACTGATGCCACCTTGCTCCCTGCCCCTGTCCTTCTCCCTCTTTTCCTTCTTTTCTTCCTTCCTTCTTTTTCCCTGCTTCTCTCCCTCCCACTCTTTTTTCCTTCCTTTCTTCTATTTTTTCAATACTGAGGATCAAATCCAGACTCTTGCACATGCTAGGCAAGCACTTTAGTACCAAGATGCATCTTCTATCCATCCATCTATCTATCTATCTATCTATCTATCTATCTATCTATCTATCTATCTATCTATCTATCTATCTATCTAGGTGTCTGGCTGGCTGGTTGGCTCTCTGTCTGCCCTTTTTTTTTTGTCTTTAAGAAACACACTTCTCTCTGAACACCTGTAATCCTAGCTACTCAGGAGGCTGAGATCTAAGGGTCATAGTTTGAAGCCAGCCTGGGCAGGAAAGTCTGCAGACTTTCATCTCCAATTCACCACCAAAAAATCCAGAAGTAGAGCTCTGGCTCAAGTAGTAAAGCATTAGCTTTGAGCCAAAATCTCAGAACAGTGCCCAGGCCCTGAGTTCAAGCTTCAGGACTGGCACAAAAAGAACAGAAAAGAAAAAAGACACATTTTTAAATATGCTTATTTTTGCTTTAAATCAGTGAATGGTGGCTTATTGAAAGTAAATGAGCAGAAATGGTTATTCCCAAGCTATCTTTGTGATGTAGAGATAGAACTTTAATGGAAAGACAGGATTTTAAAAACTAGAACACATCTGATCATTGGTCATGTGTTATGTGCACACTCATACTTCAGAAAAATGAACAAGAACTGGTGAACCATTGCTCTCCACGGGCACTCACGCTGTGAGCAGTCGCTGCCGATCCAACCCGGGTAGCACTGACAGGATCTGTCAATGGGGTTACAAGTGCCATTGTTGGTGCAGGTACAAATTCCTGCACAGTTTTTTCCAAATCTGCCGCTGGGACACACTGTGAATAAAATAGAGGTCAGATACTCACAACCCAATTCACAGAATCTTAGGACAGGAAATGACTTTAAGGGTCACCAGCCCAGCTGCTCAGTGGCCAGGGGCCATACTCGACAGCAACCCACCCTCTCCCAATCCGGAATGGGCTCATTTTTTTACAAACACACAGAGCCAAAGACCTCATTAGCACATCCCAAACCAAGAGACAACACGTTTCTAGAAATCTGACTTCAGGACTTCCCACTCAGGGAGTCCAAACTCCTTCTTCACATTGATTTTTCATGGGAGGCTGCTTCCAATTAAGGCTGAAGAGGATAACAGCGCAGACAATAAATAGCTTTCGCTGGCACGGGACACCAGCATATTTCAGAGCTCACGCAGCCTACCAGAAGCCATGAAACGTTGTGTCCTTTGGGATGTCTGAGAACAGAGATCGTGGCACTTCCTGCTCACCGCCTCTCCTTCCAAGAGGCTTGGGAGTCTTACCTTCATTGCAGAGGGCCCCTGTGAAGCCGGGCAGACAGTCACACAGGCCCGTGATGTGGTGGCATGGGCCGCTGCTGTGAACACACTGCGGGCACGTCTGGCTACAGCGATGTCCGTAAAACCCAGGGGAGCAAACTGAAAATAGAGTAGAAGCTCTCAGTTATCTTCCTGAGATGTACGCAGTACCTATTCCACACCAGCACCTTGCGAACGCTTCGGAAGAGAAAGAAAACTTCAACCACAACCACAACAACGAAATCAAAGCTAGAGAATTGTCCAAGTATAAAACACAACCCTAGGAAGAAAGGCAATCTTTAACAAGAACATAAAGCCGCTAAACTCAGAAACCCTCCAAGGCAAGTGAATGTCTTAATCCTTGATTTTCCTACTTCATTAGCTTAAGGTTGGGACACTAGCGGGCTCAATGAATTTTGTTGAATGGACCAAGAAATGAAGAGAATAAAATTCTGAAGGGGTGAAGAAAATAAAACTCTTAAAATTCCAACCTATTTGTTGACCCTTTATAACTTAAGAATCATTATTGGTAATATCATGATCTTTAGCCAAAACAGAAGATGTTTCTTCAACAAACAGTATAATGTCATGATTGTGATTAGAAATTGAGAAAGCAAGCTGCTAAATATTTATGTGCTTTCTATGACTTTATTAGAGTTCAAGTGTAGAACAGCCACATAGAGCTCTTCATGGAAAAGGAAAATTAAAAAAAATAGAATAGTGTGTGATAATACTAATAGGGTATTTCCTAAGGGAAATTAAAAAAATTAGAATAAATATGTGATAATAGTGATTGTCTTTCCTAGTAACCACTACTAAAATATTTGAGGAGTGTTACAGACCATTTCCTTACTCCAAGGTGACATTGACCCATATCCCCTGTCCCCATTTGTAACTCTGCAATTCTGTTCACCCACAGCACCGACTTTAGGACTGCTAGCAGAATGTATGATTTGCCTCAAGGTTTGGCTGATGTTGACTTCTGGTAATAGAACTAAAGCCCATGCCAAATTGCTGAATAAAATATTTACAGGTCAATGGATTTCTGGAACACTCTTTGCACACTCTGAGGAAGAATCAAGAGTATCTTAACGATCATGCCAATAGAGCAATGAAACCATTAGTGGGAAGAAATGGTTCAGTCCCCATCTGTTAGCTTAGTCCTGGAGGTTGAAAAGAATAAAGGCCTGAGGAAATGCTATTGAAGGCAATTCTGCAAAGAACAAATAATCTATTACACTGCCTCTGCCCTTGGCTGCAACAGTACATCACTATCAACGAGGGTGTGATGCGAGCGCCCTTATGCATACAGAGCCCATTCTGCATATAGAGCCCAAAGAAGGAAAGACTGAAACCATTCACTTGCGAGACACTTACTTCTCTGGCACGTGGTCCCTCGAAACCCTGGAGCGCATTCACAGATGCCATCGTCGGGGGAGCACGAAGCCCCGTTTTTACAGTAGCAGGGCAGAGAGCAGTTGGGACCCCAGCGCCCCTCAGCACACACGCTGTCACAGTGCACACCTGAAACAAGGTACGCAGGTTGAGAGAGCAGCAGATCGGGACTCCTGTGGATGCCAAATAAAAGATGAGGACCAAAGCACCCTGGGGCCTGACAACCGTGAGCAGGGACGGCAGGATGTTTGGAATCTACTTGTCTTCTATACAACATGCCCATGAAAATAATACCTGCAACTATTTTCTATGCAGTCCAGAAGAGGACATGCCATTGCTATGTGGAGTGGTATTCTTGAGCAGGAGGGAGCAATGGGGAAGCCTAAGGATTCTATCAAAGGCAAACTTTATCAAACATACTGTTGATTTCCTTCCGTCTTCCATTCTTTGTTTTCACAAAGAAATAAAGTCCACAACGATAAGGCACATTCCAAGTGATTAGATTGTTTTAGGTGAAGAGAACTCTACTTTAGAGCAAACAGATGAGTACAATCTTAGGATATTTTGATAACACAAGAAAGATAAATGCACCACCAAATTCATTCTTGTTTTTTCTTTTCGGTGCCAGTCTTAGGGCTTGAACTCAGGGGCTGGGCACTGTCCTTAAGATTTGTTGTTGTTTTTTTATTAATTTCTCAAGGCTAGTCCTCTACCACTTGAGCTAGAAGGTCTACTTCTGGCTTTTTGGTGACTAATTGGATATAGGAATGTCACAGACTTTCCTGTCTAGGCTGGCTTCAGACTGTGATCCTTAGATCTTAGCCTCCTGAATAGCTAGGATTACAGGTGTGAGCCACCTGTCTTGAATTGGGCAGCTATGGGTAGATTATATTATAGCCACCATTCTGTATGTGCTGTTGTCTAAGTCATTGATTATGAGCAAAGTGTATGTCTATATTTAACTTTGATTTTGGAACTAAACAAACTTCAGAGTCAGTTATGAATGGACAGCCAGATGCCTAAAGGAAACATTAAGAAACACCACTAACCTTACAAAAATCTATATAAAATCCAGACTTCATCTGAGGCACAGGGAGTATTCAAAATACAACAGAGACCTCTTTTTTCTAAGTCAGAATTCTTCACAAATGCTCCTCATGTGGCAAGACAATGAGTTATAATTAGGGGTGGCCTGGGCCCAAATGAAAACATGGAAAGAACAAGCCCTCCCCCTCCCCCTTCCCAGAACATTATCAGCTGCCAGGACTACCAAGCAGGGAGGACCATTTGTGGAGAAAAGTCATTGTGATCTGAACTCTTCCCCCAGAAGCACCCTGTGTTATCACAAAGATGGTACTAATTGGCACACAGAAATTTCTGCTGAATAAATCCTTCTCCTGTGGCTCCTGCCCTGTGTTCTTTCCTCTGAATGTAGGCTGTTAATAGGAGAATGAAAGTGCCAGGGTCTCATTGTGTCCGGCTTGAGTCAACAATAGGCCTTTACCACAGCTCAGACTGCTGTCTGAAGAAAAGATACTAGGTCTGTTTATAAACTTGATTGGGATTCAAATGTCCTCCCTGGAGCAAAATATGACATTTGGGTACACTGTAAGTTTTTTCTTATGTTTTCAAATATTCTATTATTTTTAAGTAGTTGTACAAAGGGGTCTCAATTCAAGATGTCCACTTTTGAATAAAATGAATTGTGTTCAAGACAATGCATAAGCCAGGCACCAGTGGCTCACACCTGTAATCCTAGCTATTCACAAGGCTGAGATCTGAAGATCGAGGTTGAAAGCCAACCCTGGCAGGTAAGTCCATGAGACACTTATCTCCCGTTAACCACCAGAAAACTGGAAGTGGCGCTGTGGCTCAAGTAGTAGAGCGCTAGCCTTGAGCTGAAGAGCTGAAGGACAGCACCCAGGCCCAGGGTTCAAGACCCATGACTGACCCCTCCCCCTCAAAAAAAACAAATGCCTTCCCTCAAGCTATCAGGTTACCAGGTTCCATGTTCACTTGTGTACCTTAAAGGTCCTGATTCACTTTCCTCATTCACTTGTACTACCCTCTCCTCTTAACCACCTCTCTCTGAGGATACATGCACCAGCTTCTTGGTGTATATTTTGTTAAATAAGTAGAAGCTACACTCTGGAATCCTCCCCTGCAGATACCATACTTTAGTTAATTTTTTTTGTATTAATTTTTTGTATATGGCCCCGTATATGTTTACATATCAGTTATATTCATCATGTTACCTTACTTTTCAGAATGGTTTTGGAAAGCTGGGATGGAATTGCAAGTTCTACCCTCTCCATGTAGCCACGGAATAACAAGTGATCTTTTTAACCAGACAACTGTACTGGCACATTTGCCAAACAAGCTAAGAAGGAATCGGCTTCAGAATGAAGCTGTCAACTTGGTTTTGTGACTGGCAAAGTAATGATCAGCACAGGTAACCTTCCACAGACTTCATTCTCTAATCAAATTCCGGTTCCTAACCGACTGGCAGCCAGGGCTGCTGTGGCTGTGGCTGAGACGGAGCTACCTGCTTCAGGGAGGTGCAGATGTCCCTGGGCACTTTGTCATTCTGTTGACTCTCAGGGACAGGTCTGAGAAGTGGAAGTTAAGCAGTTAGTCATGAATTTTTATGGTTTTGTGTGGGGGGGGGGGAGATGGGGCTTGAGAGGTCGTTTAGTTTGTCAGATACTTGCCAAACCACTACTTCACATTATACATAAATTTAGTCAAGATGGAATGAAGTACACTTCAGGTCAAAAATAAATGTTGCTTTTATCCATTCTAGGTTATTACAATTTATGCATTGCTTAGCATGCTTTTGATCACAGCCTGTTAAGAAAAATGACCACAGGTCAGATTTGCAAGGTAAATAAAGTGATCCTTTATTTTGTATCTGATTCCTCATCCTTTAAGAGACACACCCAGCTGGTTAGCATGACGATCAGTCAAAATCAACTTTATCAAGGCAACTGTCATATAAGTTCCACGAGGCCTATGAAATAGCAAGGAGATGAGTTTTACGATAGCCGAGTTCACAGATTTACCCATGTCTGCCCTTCCAAAAACCCACTGAGAATTCTACGGGTCACCTGTCAACCTCTGCCTCCAATCACGTAGTTCAGCAGAATCAAGCTTACTTTTAAATAACATTTTGTGAAAAATAACCTTTCTATTGAATGTTACCAACCTCCTCTTTAAAATTCAAGCCCAGTTCTTTTATTTTATCATCAGTGAAAGTGAGTTATCTCTTTGCATATATCGATGCCTAATCATCAATCAGAGATACGTCCAAGGAAAAGTGGGAGATTTCCTTCTTTTGGCTGGCCCCTTCTTTCTCTCTTAACCCCCCCCCCGGTCCCCAGACCCTCTGTGCCGCCCCCCTCAGCTTTCCTTCCATCTTAAGTTAGGGAAGGGCAAGACAAATCTATGATTGCTGAGGTCTACTTTGTTTGGAGGTTACCGATATTTTTACAGAGTGTATTTTAAAAGCCTAAGAAATAAATGTGTAATTGTGTGATTTTGAGACCGCGAGGCCGTGGAGAGAGTCCTGAGCGCGTGCTTCCTCCATATGAGGCTGCCACAGTCACCTCGCTGTAATGACAACTCTGCGGCCGAGCATACTGACCACCTGTGCGCCAGCTTAGAGCGCTCTCCCTCTCTCCATCTTTCTCTCAATTATTTCTATTGATCTCATCTCATTCTTTGCCAGCTTTGCTAGAGTTCAGCCAGACACCTTTTCATTTTTATATTTCTCAAAGAGCAGAAAGAAGAAAGAAAGAAAGGAAGAAAGAAAGAAAGGAAGGAAGGAAGGAAGGAAGGAAGGAAGGAAGGAAGGAAGGAAGGAAGGAAGAAGTAAGTCTATAAGTATTCAAGAAATACAGCTAAATTGAGTGTTCCAAGAAAGAAAATGCAGGGTATCAAAGACCCCAGCCTTCAACTCTGTCTTGGGATCATGATCAGGGCAGGAGGTGACCTGGGGCAGAGGGAAGGTGACCCCCCACCTGAACGAACAGGGGGTGCAAGGTCGAGCCCCAAGGCGTCCGTGGCCATCCTTCAGGGGCTGCAAGTGTTTGGTGCAGATAAAACTCAGGGCTGAGCACAAGCCGTGGAGGCCATGGGCAGCCAGCAGTGTGGCTGGTGATGGACAGCCCAGAAGGGACAGCGTGGAGTTCAGACCTCTCCCTGGTGTTAAAAGGAAACAGGTAAAGAATCCTGAAGAAGGGGCTTGACTCAGTTCGTGTGTTGTAGGAGGACAGAGATACATGAAGATCAGAGCCTAGAAGAAAGGAGTAAATCAAATGGATGTTTAGACTGCAGAGGCAAGCAATGATAAAAAATAATAATAATAACAGGACACTGAACTAAACTGATGATGGTCGTGATGCAGAGAAGATGAATAGAAGAAATGGCAGGGGAAGAATCTCCCATGCCCCTTGCCCCAGCCAAGCCCAAGTAATTAATTCTGGCAGAAGAGATGATAGAGATAGAGATATAGACAGAGGTAAAGATACAGGTAGAGGGGAAGAGAGAGGGAGAGGGAGATAGAGATGGGGATAAGGATGGAGGAAGAGGGAGGAAGGGAAGGAGGAAAAGAGGAAGAGGCTGGTTATGTTCCCATAGTGGGTATGTACCAGATATATTTGGTAAATGGCTCAATCAACACAGTTCTACATCAATAATGTTCTTCTCTGACGTCTTCGTGAACACTTGGAAGACCAACCTATATGAGGCGTGACCCTTCCAAGCAGAAGTAGAAATGTCTGCCTTCTTTCTGTTTGAGAAGACAGACTATAGGGTCAGTGTTTTTTTTCAGGTTAGCCCAGATTATAGAACACTAGAAGAATTATAAGATGGCCTAAATAACTTTCTTTGGAGTGTTTACTAATAAAAGGTTTAAAACCAGTTCCTGGAGGAGGTAACTTCCTAAAATATTTGGGGGAAGGGGGAGGGTGGATGGGAATGAGGCGGCTTTAGATCTGAGGCAATCTCTGATTCAGTGGAAACATTAATTTTTTTTCCCTGATAAATGTTCTAATGCTGATAAGGAGATCTGCGAGGGTTTCTGCCAGGACAGAGGACAAAGAGCTCTTTGATAGGCTTCACAAGTTGCTAGGCAATGGCTGAATGATCGTGATGAACTTCAGCTAAGCAGCTCTAAAGAAATGTCCATGCATTTAATGCCTGCTGCATTATGCCAAAGGACTCCATGTGTGCTCGGCATTCACTGGGCATGGGTAACTGCATGAACACAGTAAGTACGTCATCCAGTGTCACTATTTCCCCCTCTCAAAGACACAGCCCTCCCCCACCCCCAATCCTTGTCTTGCTTAATCGTTTTGATTCCTGTGCCACTAACTCTCGCCATGTTTGGAGTGTTAAACAGGAAAAAAGGAAATGAATTTGACTCAATGTCTTGATCTTCCATAACAAGCTATTAAATATATATTAGAACCAAGAAAGATTTGCTAATACTAATTGGGCTTGCTGGTTCTAGGAGGGAAGCATTAACTAGACGTGTCCTGTTTTTCTGGCCCATTGATCAATGGAGAGAAGGCCTAATATAGTGGAGCATAGGAAAGTTAGTCATGGTGAATCTATGTCCATCGATATCTTTGCAGTAGAATGTGAACTCTGCAGAATAAAGTGGCTGGTACCATATTTTATCTTTATATACCCAGCACCTTGGCTATGTGGTGACATAGGACTTAGAGATCTTCAACATATGGGTGTTAAATCAAACCTTTCCATCCTCATGCTATGGATTTTCAAGAATCTGCTACCGTACAGGTAAACCCAGTTGAGATGTGTCTACCAGTCATATTTATGAGGGATACTTCAGCAAGTTCTAAGACAAACGTGCTGGAAAGCTCCACCTGCCTTAACCCAGATCCGAATGGAAAAGCAGACAGAGTGGAAGATCTGAGGGCTTTGGTCTTTTGGTGGCCTTTTGAATTTTTATCATTTTTTAATGAGCACCTCTCTGCACTAACTCCAGACACTTGAGCCTTTGCTCTAATCTAACATCCCTGCAAATCCCCACACATAGATACCTACAGACACTCCCCCGCCCCTCAGCACCCAAAGGGGTCCGAGAGTGAGTTCTTAGAACTTGTAGTAGTTGGGAGCCTGCGTGTTAATTAAGCTTATAAAACTGAATAGGTCTGACTCAGCTTTGCCCTTCTGTCTCAGTACAAGGGAAGGTGGATCTTCCCTTACTGTGACAACCAAGGTGTCAACTGCCTTCCACGAGAGCCTTGGAGCAGATCGGTCCCCAGAGAGGCAGTTCGCTGGTCATTCTGGTCCCAGTTGGTGGCTGGGGAAAGCTGGACAGGACTGTCCTTGCAGGGAAGGCTGGGCCTGCTCAGCAATCCTGCTTCTCCTTCCTGGAATGAGTGCACACGCTGGAGTCTTCTTACCAATTTGCTACAGGGCTCTCCTTCTTCCATGATCCCATTCCTGGCTGGGCACTTCTATTCTCCACCCCCCTTCTCACCATTACACTACACTTGGAGTCTCTTTCCCAAGTGGTCTAGAGGGCAGTATTAGTCTCTTTTCCACCAGTTTAATTCTCTCTTCTTTAAAAAAAAATTTCCAGTACTAATGCATGCTTGAGCTCTCTCTTCTCATTTGCCACTGGTATAAAGCTACTGCCAAAGAGATGCTGTCCAGTGACACGTGCAGCCACCTGAGCCACAGAGAGGACAGGAAGTAGCATTGCTCACCTCTCTAGGCTTATGTTAATGATTTGACCCCAAAAATAGCTCCAAAATGAAAAGCAAAGCTTTCTTTACCTTTATTTATGAAGGTCCTAACAAGGAACCTATTCATAATAAATATACTGATTTAAAAAAATGATGAGTCGACCCAGGATCGACAATGAATAGTATCTTGTGTGAATAATACACAGAACTTGCTCTTTCCTTTTAGAAAAAAAACATTATAGAGACTCTTGGAAGTTTCTTTTCCTCTATACATGTTTGCTTTTACCAAGTAGGTTTGTGAACGTGGGGACAACTTCATAGCAGGCTTAGAGGTGAACAGGTGCTAACATGCTAAGAGTTTACACAGAAGACCCAGAGAAATGAAGTCTTTGGCCTAGGAACTGGCTTAGGAGCAGTAAAAGCCACAGTGAAACAGTGGGTGACAAGAGGCAGAAGAACCTCAAGGCAGCAAAGCTTCTTCCCTCTTGGAGAAGCAGACCAGTCGCAGATGGACAGAGGATTACGGCAAATCCACCCCATTCCCTCGGGAGCATGATAGGTCTAAGGCCAGATGGGATCATTTGTCTTACCCCATGACCCAGACTGTGGAATGCAAGCGCACATTTTCCATCTGGCTTCAGGCCAAATCATCTCTTGCTTTTCTCATTCACCGACTGGTTCTAAATAATCAAAGCTGGTAGACATTTGGGCAGTGACTGGCATAGTCAAGATCACTTCCCACCTTCTAGGTATTCATAAGGCAGGAGAAGACTGGCTAGAGTATGGCTCAGATGATGTAGACTGCCTATAAGGAAGGTTATGTATTTGCTGCAAGGTGAATGTAGAACTGTGTTCATTGATAAATTAGTACTGGTCAGTCTGAGAAATTCAAGAAGCCTGGTGCAGTCTAAAAATCTGGCTTACTCCCTGGTGTGATTCAGTTTTAACAGTTAGTAATCGGACTCTAGAGACAAAAAGAACGAGTGAAATTCCACACTGTAAAGTCAAAGTTTGTCAAATCAAGAAGGAACTATGGAGTCAGATGCTCTTGTGTCAGTGGGCAACTCCGATGGACGGAAAATGGGATCTGTTGTTTCAGCCTGCTCTGTTCCCAAGGCAGCTCTCAATCTAGAAACAAATACATGACAGCCCATCTCAGACTTATCCCACCTCCTTAGCCACGGGGAATTGCAAAGCAAAAAGGCAGATATGTTGACAGGGACAAGAAGAACTAGAGCCCTCATACATTGCTGGTGGGAATCCAGCGTGACCTTGCAAGAACAACCATATTTTTGCTCATAATTTACAGATTCTGAAGACAGAACTAAATGCCCAAGCAAGCCTGTACATCATGGGTGAGAAATCCTAAAGCCACATAAATAAGGAAGAATTCCCAACCTGGGTGAGAAACACGGTGAAATTCTATCTTTGTCGTTACACAAACATGTTTGTAAGAAAGGTAAAGTTTTAAAACTTGTACATCCAAGAAAGAATACTGAATACTTGGAATATTCACCATATAAACACTAGAGTTTAATATTTTTGCCTCACCCACTAGAGTCATGTCCTTAGGGTGTATTTCAATCCCCTCCCCCCCCTTCCCCCCCTCCCCCGCCCCATCCCACCAAATGCTCAATATATACCAAGCAGTCCTGCAGAGTTCATTGTAGCAGGTCCTATCTTACTGGCTTGCGTTCTGGCAATTACAGCTTCGTTAAAAACCTAGCGATTCCATTTCATGGGGACACGTGTCTGTTCACTGGAGCGCTTGCTGCCCTTTCTCTTTGACTGAAATGTCGACTGGTACAGATTTTTCTCAAGGAGCAAGGACCAACCCTTACGCTCTTGACTTCCCTCGGCTCTCACCTGACCACCCGGGGAGGCAGCGGCAGTGGCCCGTGGTGGGGTGGCAGCCATCTGCGTGGCTGCAGTCGCAGCGTTCGGCACAGTTCAGCCCATACGTGCCATCCTGCAAGGAAGATGGGGTCAGAGACCGCGCTGAGAGCCTGGGAAACCCCAGGACGGCAGACAAAAGGACCAACGCCAACCCTCCCCCCCCCCCCCACCGGAAAGCATGCACTAAAACCACCTCTCTTCATGCCTTATGTAGTCCACGACACGAGGGTTTGAAAACTCTAGTTTATGCCTCACATAATGGTTGGGACATATGAACGATGAAACCTATTTTGCCACTAGGTTGATTTGTATAAGTGTGATGCATAGAAATCCACCTTGTAGTTAAAGAAACCTGACCTAGTCATAAACTACAACTGATAAAAATATTTTCTTTGATTCCTACTGACTTTTTTTTTTATGACAGTGCAGTCTACCCTTAGGCAGGAAGGGAGGACTCTGTCTTACAGATGGAAGATGACCTTCAGGCCCCTCTTCAAATGTAGATAATGTGTTCATTGGTCTGAGGAGAACAACAAAGCTAGCTTCATTCTGTCCTGGGGGGATTGGAGGGTACAGCATAGCTCCAGACAGGAATCCTCTTTGCTTTGGGAAGTAGGTTATACTTCATCAGGAGGAGCCCCAGGGAAACCGAGCGCCCCTTCCACATTGTTATCCAGCCATCTGACAATGGCCCAGAGGCAGAGCATCTACGCCACTGAATGACCGGATCAAAGAGTGCAGAGCACAGGAGGGAAACCCGGCCGAAGTGCTGGGGAAAGCAGCAGGTTCCTAGAGAATGCATTTCCCGCCCGTGCCCTCCAGTAGGAGATTTCTAACGAGGCGCAGCTTCAAAGTAGGTCAAGGGAATGGAGTGCTGTATGGGGAAAACCTTAGGCCATTCTTGGGTTCTAGAGATACGTCCAGTAAACCGAGTTGCTTACCCGTCTGCGACTCCTCCACCTCCTCTTTCAGACCCCAGCCACTTCCCACCCTAAGGCCCGGGATCTCCATGATAACGGAGACGCAGAGTGCTAGACCAGTGCAGCCTTGCCATGAGCAAGCCACCACGCGATGAGCAGAGAAGAAACGAAACATGCGAGTGGGGGGTGAAGAGCCAGCACAGAGAGAATGGAAACATGGGGAGGATTCTGATCAAGCCACCCAAGCCCACCTCGGTTCTGACAGTGCGTGGCGCTTGGCTCACAGCCCGCCACCTTCAATCCAGAAACCCCGCACGAGCAAGCCAGTCCTAGACAGAGCAGGCGTACCTGGCAGGGCAGCTCGCACTTCCCGCCGCGCCACCCGGGGGCGCAGGTGCAGGTGCCGTCCAGGGTGTCACACGCACCTCCGTGGAGACACTGGCATGTCAGGTTACAGCCAAAGCCCCAGGTGCCACTGGGGCAGCGGATGGAGCAGTCCACCCCGTGCCAGCCTACAAGACAAGATTGCCAGAGCCCGTGAGCCAGCCCAGGTGCCCGGGGCCTCCTTTCCCTAACCCCAGCACCAGCACCTAGCAGTGCAGCAAGCACCAGCTCTGGGCAGGGACAGGCTCCATGAGAATTGAACGGAGGCCTCCCCGCAAGATGCCAAGGCTGGGGAGCTCCCCTGGGCTCCCGAGGAGGGGCCCGGAGCGGGAGGGGGGGCACCTATAATGGGGAGCCATGTCCCAACTTGGACATGCTGAGCTCTGTTCAGAGTGCGAAGCTGGGATGCTGACACGGCAGGGGAGGAAGGCTTGTGTCTGAAGGAACAGCCCTATCTTTGACACAGCCCCGCCCCCGCCCCCATTAGCTGTGAAGAACGTGAAGCCAAAGGCCTGGCTGCATCTACAGATGGACATGTTCTGGGCCTCACATAAATTCTGGCCTGGCTAAGTTTCTTGTCTCATATCCAGGCCGGTCAATTGAGGGGCACAGACAGAAGTCTGCTTGTGTACTCTCCCCCAAAGCAAGACTCACAGACTTCCAATTCACAAAATTTGAGATCACCTAGTGTGTCTCTTTCCTTACTGTTATCAGCACTGAAGTTTGGTACATCAGGAGCTACAGCCCCAGTGAAAGTTTGACTTCAGTAACAGGACCAATATCAAACAAAAGACGGCATTCGCCCAATCTTACCTGCCTTGCAAATACAAGACCCATCCACAGGAGAGCAGACAGCGTTGTTTTTACAGCCACAGCGAGAGGAACAGTTTATGCCATAGGTTCCCAAAGGACACGGGGTAGAACAGTCAACTCCCTGGAAGGACACAGAGAGCAAGCTTCAGGTTATTTTGTCATCTAGAATCAGCCCGTCATAAATATAAGGAAGTATATTTCGGCAATGCTAATTATACTTCTTCTCTTATTTTAACACTCTCTATATTTTTTTAAGTTGCTATAGTGTCACTACTATGCAAATTTTAGAGATTCAAGTACAATATTGGCTGGTCTATGTTTAGGGTAGAGTATTAAATGGAACCTCATAAATAGCCTACTGCTTTCAGTAGACTTGTCTTCACAGCAAAACGAAAATAAACAAATATAAACCTTGTACCCTTGCTCAGAAAGATAAAAATAAATTGCAGCTATAAAATCATTGTTGGTGAATATATAAACGTCAATAAGGATTGTGCACTAGGTGCCAGTGTTTCCTAGTGTTTCTTGCCTAATAAGCAGTATTATTAATGGATGAAACAAAGCATTGCTCAGCCAGAGGCATGATGGGTTGAATTTATCCAGTGGTGAGCATTGAGTTGCAAAGGTAACTGAAGGACATTTCATTTAATCATAAACAATTAGACATAGGGATTCTATAAAGAAGGCCAACACAAGGGCTCAGCTGTAGGACTGGGAATAGATTTGAAAACCCTGGGTCCTTACATTCTATGACTTTAGGATCTCCTCATTTATATTATATATTCCCAAATAACTATCCAAGTTTTTCATAGTTTGGTATTGGCTTCTTTAGAAAAGGAGGAAATGAATTAACACTAGCACATTTGCCTTTGAAATAAATATTCTTATAGCTAAAAACATCCTAAAACTGCAGGCCAGATTCTGTTCTGCTGGCATTCATGCATTTACTGGGTCTTGATTCTCAAGGAGACTTAAATCCCATGGGTAACTAACTATAGAATGAACACATAATGTGTGGTGTGTCTTTCACATTTCATGAAATTAAAACAGTAACTATTATCAGTAAGAACTCACCTACATGGAAAAGTAACTTCCTTGTTGCCTACAAAAACTCAGTAAAATAATTACTTAAATAACTACCGGAGTCTTTACTATCCATTTTCTTCATGGGCAGCAGGAAATGTTTCACTGTGTCTCCAACTCTTTCTGTCTGTCTGTCTCTCTGTCTGTCTCTCTCTCTCTTCTTAACCTGGCTCTTGAGCCATCTAACTGAAACCTGCCATTTCCCTTACCAATATAACTTCTCTCTAAACTCCTTGCTTTGCCACTTTAAAAAAACAGAAAAAACTATAGTACACCATACTTCCAACATAGTCTTATCTTAAAAATTAATAAAAGCCAAGTTTGGTGGCTCACACCTAAATTTTGAGTGACTCATGAGGCTGAGATTGGGAGGATCCTAGTTCAAGACCAGCCTCCGTAAAAAGTTGGTGAGATCCCATCTTTACCAACAGCTACAGGTGGAAGTGTTTGTCTATCATCCCAACTATGGTAGCAAGCACGAAGTTGGACATGGGCAAAAAGCAAGACCTTATTTCAGAAAGGCTAGCGGTATAGCTCAAGCAGTAGAGCGTCTTCCTGGGAAGTAAGAGGCTCAGATCAAACCCAGTACTGCCAACAAACGAAGACATATTTTTATAGTTTTATCAGCTTTCCAAGTTGTCATCTGAAAGTCGGTATTATTTATGTTTCTACTTGTACTTTTCTATTTTTCTCCTTATTAATGATGTGAACTATTAGCACATACTCTTACCTTGTAATAGATAATAGAAGTCATGGCACTTGTGCGCTCTACAGCGTACCCCTCTGCTTCTGCCCACACAGCCCAAGTCACTCACTTTGAATCCGGGTGCACAGGTGCACTGTCCCGTCCTGCTGTCACAGTCAGCTCCGTTCTGGCAGCTGCAGATCTGTTGGCACGCTTCTCCGTAGAACCCAGGAGAGCATGTCTCATTACAGTAAAGTCCAGACCAGCCTGGCCTGCAGGCACACTCGCCAGACATGGGGTGACAGCTGAGAGACACGGATGAAAGGGACGAGTCATTCTCGGGTAAACATGATACGCGAGGCCTGGGCAAATGTTGTTTTAGCCATGATCGCTAAAATATGTGGGTGATTCCACACACACATTTAAACTTCACTCTTAGGCTGGGCATGATTTCATTAGCTGGCGGAAACCTGATTGGTTCTGCAGACGTGTAAGATGTTAGCATCGTGCTCTAGCAAGAGGACTGTTACAACCAGGTCCTTTTGTCTGCGATTCTGTTTACATGTCCTTAAATCCAAAGCACTAATTCAATACACGGACCTCATGGGGGAATATGAAAAAACTCCATCTGATGACGTGTCTCGTCCGTTAAGAGTGGGAGGTCCAAGGAGCTCCGAAAGCAGTGTCCTTGTCAGTCTGCGGGTTCTCTGCACTTCCTCTACCTGGTCGCAGCGCAGCTGTTGCTACCTGGAACAGCAGCCGTATTGAAGAGCCAGGCGAGCAGCTGTCGCTCGCTAGCAAGTGGACACGTCAGCTGCGCTCCACTGCACGTGGAAGTCGGCCCACACAATAGGCCACTCAGTGGCACGCTGGCTCAACACACCCCACAGAGAAGCCTGAACCATCAAGCTGGCCCGGCTGACAACTGGAAGACTGTTTAAAGATGGTTTTCCTCCCCCCAGTGAGCTGAACACTCCCCTTAGCAGGGGCAATAACTCTGCTGTCAAACCCAGACATTTACGAACTGGCCTCTTATCGGAGGGCTATTCACAGACTTTACCTTTAAAAAGGGGGAAATGAGGGCAGTTTGTAACTCCTGAAGAACCTTAGAAAAGGCAGATAACTCTGCTTGCCCGATGACCAGTGAGTGCCTCAGACATACCCTCACTGCTTTAAAAGTCATTGTGACTTAAAGGGAAGCGCCCCTAACTGCTGAGAACCATGTGATCTTTGTGGTGGCTGTGAAGTGGAGGCAGAGACTGGCAGCTAGTGTGTTCAGGGCACTGGATAGTGCCAGCGCCTGCTAAACTTCCACAAGCACCCTTGAACGCAGTCCTCTCCAGCATCCCAGGACAGCAGATGTGATCCCATTCTACACATGAGGACGTAGAAGCCTAGAAAGGGTAAGACACACCCAGGCAAGGGCAAAATCAGACTTGAACCAGGTTTGTCTGTTTTTGTGTCAAAGAAAAAGGAAACCCGCTAGCAGCCTTTGAGAGAGACCTGATGTAAAAAGAATTTGTTAAAATACGAGACAACACTCATAAAAGCTCAACAGGATTGTGTAAAAAAAAAAAAAAGAGACAAATTTAAATTTACAATAATAAAGCCCTGCATTTGAAAACAAAAAAAAGCCATGAGATTTCAAATAACTGATCAGGCAACGTAGTTACCTCAACATACGATCAAATAAGTGAGATTTTTGGAAAAACATATTGTTTTATATTAACTAGAAAAAAAATAGTATTTGTGGTATAGACACATGTACTGTGCAAATAGATAATCCAGGTCCAGAGAATTTGAAATGACAGTGGCAGACGGAGACATTGATTCTCAATGCCCCCAGGAAGTGGGAGTGTGTGCACTGGTTCTCCAATTGATTGACACCAAAATCAGTATTCCACAATTTGTAATTAGATGTAGGAAGCCCTCAGAACACTTTGGAGGCATCTGATGGGTTTTCAAGCAAGCAACTGAATTGATAATGAGATTAACATCAAGGAGGTGATGGATGATCTCTCTCTCTCTATATATATACTTATGTACCAATCTATGAATAGATACTGGTGTGTAATGACTATATATTTATGCATATTATATATGTGTATATACATATATGTAGTGTGCATACACATTACACATACATTCACTTACATGCATATATGTATGCATATGTGTATATATATGTATATATCACAATGAAACTAACCAAATGCTACTTGAAAAAGGAGGGAAGAGGGAGGAAGATATGGAAATATAATAAAAGAGCCGATTTTGATCTGAGTATAGTTTGTGCATATTTGGAATTCTTCCAATAAAGTTCTAATAAAACTCTTTCATAGTACAAGTGTCTGATCATCCAAAAGTAAAGAAAATGCAACTCAAATAATATAATCAAACACACACACAGCAAATTCTATCTTTAGTTTTTCAAACAATAACTTGAATAAGAGACCAACTGCATGCTCTGCTGAACTTCTGTGCATTTGAGAGGGACATGCCAGGAGTTATCTTTCAGCAATATAAATGAAGTTGCATGTGTGCGGAAAGCAAATAAAAAAGTAACTAACGCTGGTAACATCTGAACTGTTGCATAATGCACTACATTTTTGTCAAATGCAGTTTTCCAATAGTCTGAAAACAGACGTGGAATTCTAAGTGATGTTTATCTGATTCTAGAGGAAGAGAAAAGAGTGTGGGAAGATATTTTCAGGAGCAGACAAGGTACAGTAGAGTGGGTGGGATTGTGGTTTCCTGTTCTTAAATTCCTCTAGAGACTTTTTTGCACGACAGGACGCGTGTAAGTCTTGAGTCCAAGGTATTGCATTTGTGTCAGCCATGGGAAGTCCTTTCACAAATCTTCTACAGGTTCACTTCCTCTCTATCGCCTGTTTCAGTCCCACAGATGTGTTGTCAAGGAAAAGATATGGCAGTGAGCATTGTTTTATGATATTTTCACATCCTAAACTTGGCTTCATGCCTTGCCTTCCATGCATTTTACGTAGCATGGAATGGCCCAGAATCCTTTTCTTAGGGAAAAGTCCCAACTGAGCTTAGCAAGTTACATTTTTACCAGCAGCTGTTAAGAGATAAAAGAACTTAATATCCACCCAAAATCATCTAACAATCGTAGCATTCCTCACACAGGCTGTCAGTCCCAAAGTGAACCTGGGCCAGCCCAGGAGACTCTACGTTAGCAAGGTCTCAGATGAGGACCAGCTTGTCAAACGCTCCTTCCAGCTCCTGGACACTGAGGTTGTAACTTCCAGTGGCAGCCAGCCCTCACCTGTGAGTGTGGTCCAGGTGGCAGGGACACCGCTTGTCACACTTGATGCCGTAGAGCCCCTCGGGACACAGGCGAGCCTCGCAGAGCTCTCCGGCAAAGCCTGCTTCACACAGGCACGCGCCGCTCACATGGTAGCACTTGCCCCCGTTGACACACCGGCAGGTCTCGGCACAGTGAACCCCGTAGGTGCCAACGGGACACTCATCCTGGCATCTGGCAAATAGGAAGCAGAGATCAGCAAAGGCCATGGAAAAACAAACAACCCATTCAAAGTGGCCTCATTAAGCGCAAATCGACGCGGCCTTTTGAACTACATATCGTGATTTCCCTATTCTGGGCAGAAAAAAACAATGAGATCAATTAGTCTGGCTCCAGGAATAGTAACAGTAGTATGCCTGGTGAATGCCAAGTAACCAAAATAAATAAATAACATAAGCTTGGGACAGGAAAGAAAGGCAGGGTCTATTAAAAGGGGCGGAACAAGAAGAGAAATCGCCCTAATAGTAGCACCAGCTCCCAACAGGTATGGTTTAAACAATGCCTTTCCCATTTCCTAAAGGGGGAAAAATGTGGTGAATTTGAAGCTAAAATTTAATTCTCTTAGCTAGCATGTTGACATTTCTTTTTCTTTTCAACCATGCCTCTGCTGTGTTCAAAGTTCATAGTAATGACTGCTCCTCATTTAGGGAGCGTGTGATTAGGTAGTAACGTCCTCTTGAGAAGGGGGAATTCGGAGCTTCTGCAAGTCCTCTTGAGAAGGGGGAATTCGGAGCTTCTGCAACGGCATGTCCTCCACGCCACGCAAGGCAAGCCCCTGCCAGTGGGTTGGAGGAAGCTTTTCCAACACACGTATTTTGGCAAGTGAGATGTTGTCTCTCTGTTGTGAAGAAAAACTGCCAAATGGCAAGGAGCAAGGTAGCAGGCCTCAAAATGTCACTTAATTATCCTAAAAAAAAAATCCTATGAATTAAGAAAAAATGAGGGGAGGGTGGGGAGGGATGAGTGCGAATGTGGACAAGGGTGGCATTGATCACGATGCATTGTATTCACAAACTGCTTTGCTGAATGGCAACTCCTAGGTACAACTACCTAAAGGGAATTTTAAAAATGGCATTAGAGCTTTGTCTTAGGGAAGGACACAATCTAAGTAAGACAAGATGGTAAGGCGGGAAGCTGGGTTGCTGGAGGGATTTGTGGTAGAAAAGAAAAATGGATCTATCACTCATTTGTGGAAAGTACAAGCAGTTCTAGTCAAGTTTCTTCTGGGGTGGGGGGGAGGGCGGTGTAAGGTGTTAGGACTCTGCACAACAGCAGGAGAACTTTTGGCCAAAGACAGGGTCTCATCTATCAGCATGCTCACCAGCATTGGAAACATTTTGACTGAGTGGCCACTTCCCACGTGGTCTTAAGTTACACCAGATCCAGATAAAAATGTAGATCCTGTACAGCACTGGTAGCTTAGGCCTGTAATCTTAGCTACTCAAAAGGCTGAGATATAAGGATCATAGTTTGAAGCCAGGGGCAGGAAAGTCACTGAAGTTCTTTTTTTTTTTTTTTTTGGGTCTGGTCCTGGGGCCTGAACTCTGGGCCTGGGTGCTGTCCCTCAGCTCTTCAGCTCAAGGCTAGTGCTCTACCACTTGAGCCACAGTGCCACTTCCGGCTTTTTTCTTTTTGCTTGTGTGGTGCTGAGGAATCGAACCCAGGGCCTCAGGCATGCAAGGCAAGCGCTCTACCACTGAGCCACCTTCCCAGCCTGTCACTGAAGTTCTTATCTTCAATTAACCACCAAAAGTCAGAAGCAAAGCTGTGGTTCAGCCTAGAGAGCAAGCCTTAGGCAAAAGAGCTAAGGGACAGAACCCAAGCCCTGAGTTCAAGCCCCAGTACTGGTGCGTGCACACGTGCGAACACACACAAACACACACACACACACACACACACACACACACACACACACACACACACACACAAAATGTAGGTCAGCATTGCACTTCTTCAGATCTCGATAATATAAACAGCAACAAGGTATGGTAACTACTTGAAGCATACTTGAAACAGGAAAGAAATTTGCTGGAAAGAAACAGTCTATCCACAAAGCTTTGCGTGTTTTTAATGACAGGGTGTGGTGACTTGTGGCTACGGCAGTTCTATATATACAGGGCAGATCTTGGCAATCTTCTAATCCCTTTCCAGTTAACCCTGGCTGTAATAGAGACTGAATGTAATGATAACAAAGAAAAGACATCCTCTAACGCTGGCCTCAGATTCTAGACAACTGCAGGTACATTTATCAATAGGCAAAGTCTTTAAAACATTCAGCCTTTAGGGAAGTTCTGGAGAAACTGAGCAAATAGTACTTTTGCTTGTTTTGTACTAGGTGTTTTGTTTGTTTTGTTTGGTTTGTTGCAGCCTGGGCTGGCTTCCAACTTTGATCCTCAGGTCTCAGTCTTTTGAATAGCCAGGAGTGCAGGTGTGAGCCATGAGTGCCTGGCTTTCAAATATCTGTTTGCGAGGGCTACATGAACCCATTCATTTTTAGACCCAGGGAGCTTTATGAAGGTCCTCAGTATTTATAACTGGAAACTTCAACAAGCCATGGCTTCTCCTTTATTCCCTAAATAAGTAGACAATAAGGAAAGCATGATTGCAGGGCAACCATTGCACCTTATCCTGTCTCTTGCTGAGGACCTGTGACATAACTGTCACCCTGTCGGTTTGGATTTCCTTGAAATCCAAGAAAAAGAAGACAACCAAGGTAACATAATATCACTTCCTCTTATACGGCTTTGAAAACAAATGAAATGTCAAGCTTTGGATTATCTGCATGATTTTTACTCAAGACAAAAACAAAAACAAAAACCAGCACTAAAAGTCGTTTCGAGTGGTTTTGACTGGAAGCCAGAGAAATTACAGGGGAACAGCATGAATATTTGATCATAGCTTGGCAGAGTCTTCCTTCTCTCTGGGAAGACAACAGGTATGATAGCAGGTTCTGGCCCAAATTTACCTTCCTAACCTATAATTAAACATGCTACTTGTTTCTAATGTAAGTACAAACCTCATTCATTAAAATTTTACTTTCTAAAGCAGCTACAGTATCAGCTTGATTCCTCTTGTTCATCTTCTACTTTTTCTTTTGGGGAATGTTGTAAGAGAAGATGGTTTCCATCAACCTAACCTTTGGACACCTAATCTGGACACCTTTTTAAAAGTATACTATTTTGTGGATAAAGTTGGGAGAAATACAGGAGAACAATCAAGATGCATGGTAGTCATCAACTGATACAATGAATTGAACCCCCCCGTACAACTACTTAAAGGTGATATTTTAATAACTTTATTTTAATTACACAAATGTATGGGATATAGTGTAATATATATTTTACTGTTAATTTAAAAGTGATATTTAGAGGAGTTACCATTTTATAAATCAGACAATGAGTACATTTCTTTTTGGACAATGTCATACCTTCTTTTGCTCTCTCCTGTTTTTCCCTCTTATCCCCACCCACAAGTTGTCTAGATCATCTTCATACAGTGTCGTTTTCAATATAGTGTCTACTGAGTACCACTGCTGAATTTGTTTACCCTTTGTCCCTCCATTTGAAGAAAGTAAGCGTAATCATGAAGTACGTCTTCTACTACTTCCCGTCACATATTTTGCCCTATTTTGCCACAGATTTTGTAATATCAGTTGCTTTGGTGGCCCCACACAGACAAGAAGAGCGGTCTCAGGAATTAGTAAAAGAGGAAATAGATTTCCTTAAGGAAGAGGTTAAAATGAAAGCTTCAAAGAAAGCAATAAACCCTGGCCATTATAGAAATATCGGAAATTTTGGAGTCCTGCTTGTTAAAAATTAGAACTGGGGGAAATGGCTAACCATTCATAGAGCTAAATTAATAAAACATTTCAATTCCAAGACAAGCAAACGTCTCAGTCTTGTTTCAGTGCCGTGGTGGTTATTATATGTCTCCTGATGGCTGCTCCCTCTCACCTGCTCTCCTGAGCACACCCCTCCCTGGGGTGAGTTGAGCCAAATCATGATTTAGTGTGAGAGAAGGATGTTCCTTGTTGAACCTGGGCTCCTTGGATCAGCTGCCTGCCTTTCCCACCTCTGAAACCGCTGCTCTGGGGGAAATGAACAGCAGGGTGAAGGAGTCAGCTTGTCCAGCATCCTGGACCCAAGAGAAGGTTCTCCATGGAACCAGCTCTGTGTCCCTCGCGCTAGTCTGCAATGTCTGCCTTTGCCGCCGTTGTCTTCACTATCAGCATCACATGGAGCTCACGATGGCAGGGCACATTCCTTGATTGGTTGGACCCCACTGGTAGATCTCCCACGCCGTGGGTGTGAATGTGTGTGAGTGTGTGTGTGTCCCCACAAGGCCAGCAGAGGCCCAGGGCCATTCTGTGTGAGCGCCATTAGCCCCAGGCCCACTTTCTTCACGTCTCCACAGAGCTCTGAGATGTGGAGCCCCCTCCCTTCACTCCTGCTCCACTTCTTGGCATCTCCACCACCACAGCATCCTCCAGACAGTTCCACAGCCCCAAACCTCCTATTTGTCATCTGTTTCCCAACCCTGGGCCACTGCGGGGTGCGTGTTTGTGTTCCCACATCCTGGTGCTGCTGGCTGGCCGCCCACCACAGCAAGCCGGTCACCCTGCCTTGCCAAGGCCGGGAAGGGGCAGGGAGCACCATGGCCTCCGGCCTCTGCCCCACAAACAGCCCCTCCGCCCATCAGTGTTTCTTTTCATGGTGACACATGTTCTTGGTGTTGTGGGTTGTGGGCATGCGTCTTAACCCTAGAACCCAGTGGGGGATAACAACGGAAACAGAGAATCATATATCATCACCATCACCAGTCTCTTCCTCCTCCTCCCCTTCCTCCTCCTCCTCATCTCAGAAAAAGAATGCTTACAAAAGCAATAATCCAAGAAGTCAAGCCCTCCCCAGCCTCCTGCCTTTCCCCTAGCTCTGTGCCTTCCTTGCTTTACCAAAATGTACCTGAAATGTAACTAGTAATCCTTGCCCTGTTATTCCAAAAAAGATGAGCCTGAGCATTCTGGCCTTGTGTGTTTGTTTTCTGTGTTGCTCTTCATTTGAAACAAATATCCACTATTTATATTAAATTATATTAAAAATTACATATATATTACATGTATATAAATAAATCAGGTGTATATTACATTTACATTTATATTAAAAGTTCTAGTGAAATTAAGCATCCCTTAAGAGTCAGCTTGGTCTTGTACATTTCTTACCTGTATCTATTTTACCGCAATTTAAAGGTCATGTGACAGCCCTACCAGTCCAAAACAAAACCCTGCTGGTGGTCACCCAAACATGCTGAGAAGCCCAATTAGAGAACGTAAACACCGTAAACTAATGGTACCAATAATCCACACATCAGAGAATTAAAGGAACAGATATAATCATATTAGTAAAAGATTCAAAGAAAGATCTTTAATTAAGTGGATAGATGCCTGGTGTAAGCCCAGCTGCTCAGTAGGCTAAGATCTGCAGATTGTGGTTCGAAGCCAGCCCAGGCTGGAAAGTCCGTGAAACTCTTATCTCCAGGGAACAATAAAAAAAAGCCAGAAGTGGAACTGTGGCTGAAGTGGTAGAGCACTCACCTTGAGCAAAAAAGCTCAGGAACGGTACCTAGGCCCTGACTTCAGGCCATACGACCAGCATATACATATAAAGATTAAATGGATGGTACTAACAAAAAAACCTTAATAAAAAATAAGATATATCAATGCCATTTCCAATAAAATTATGACCAAGGAATTCTTGTATCAACCTCTACTTGTCAAGATTGTTTCAGAGGTTCAGAATAATGTAATAATGTAAGAAAATGAAATAGTCATTATAAGTATTGAGAAATGACTTATCATTATTGGCAGATGATATGATTGTAAAACTAAATGATTCTAGTATTTACTAAAAATAAGCAGGAGGGCTGGGAAGGTGGCTCAGTGGCAGAGTGCTTGCCTTGCATGCATGAGGCCCTGGGTTCCATTCCTCAGCACCACATAAGCAGAAAAAGCTGGAAGTGGCGCTGTGGTAACCTTGAGCTGAAGAGCTCAGGGACAGCGCCCACGCCCAGATTTCAGGCCCCTCGACTGACCCTCCTCCCCCCCCCCCCAAACAAAAGCTGGAATGCTGTTGGAAATTATGGCAGAAAAGTAAATATTTGAAAGCATTTTTTTTCTTTATCACAAAACACCTAGCTAGAAGCTGAAAATAATTCTTTAATTGTACATTTCTTGGAAACAAACTTGATGAGAGTATAACAATGACCAAGTTGCAGGGAAAAACAAACCCTAGAGTATCATATTGAATGTAATAAAATTGAACCAGAATTTTGGAAACAAAAAAAATATGGAAAACTGTGAAAAGAATTTTAGTTCACAGTGATTGCTAAAAAGTAATTACAGGAGCCAAGCACTGGTAGCCCATGCCTGTAGTCCTAGCTACTCAGGAGCTGAGATCTGAGGATTACAGCTTAAAGCCAACCTGAGTGACAGTCTCCATCACCAATCAACCAGCAAAATTTGGACTGGAGGTGTGGCTAATGTGGCAGAGCACCAAGAAAGCTGAGTACAAATGTGAAGTACACAGTTCAAGCCTTGATACCAATACCCCTCCGAAAATGACAGTTAACTCTATATTGTTCATAGATATGATTTAACTGGATAATCATTGATACTTATATAGTTCATAGAAACCATTAAAAGATGATGATAGCTAGACACATACACTTCAGGACTATTCCTAGGCTGTTATGTACTAACTTACTTTTCTCACGGCCATGAAGGAAAGTTGGATTATTCTTTTTTTTTCTTTTTCTTTTTTTCCAGGGCTGAGGACCAAACCCAGGGCCTTGCACGCACCGGGCGGGCGCCATTCCGCTGGGCTAAACCCCAGCCCCTGAAAGTCTGATTATTAATTGAGTTGGCCCAATGAGGAAAGTTCTATGTGCACATTGGTCTAAACCTAGGTTCCCAAATCTTTGTTTATAATCATTTTACTCAATGCCCCTCAAATCTCTTACACAGTTTTATACTCACATTCAATGAATTTGGTTAGCTTGTCTTTTAGGACATACAAAAAAGTAGAAGAAATAGGATGAGCATGTAATATGTAACCTTCTAACAGAAAGCTACAAACCTTCTAACACAGAAAGCTGCAGAACCACATGTGCACACACAGCAATTTACCCAACATCCAGCAGAGATCGTCTTCTACCAACACAGTAAAGTATGATGACTGATAGATATTCTTCACACCATGCTGAATCACAAGAAGGCAACTGTGCTTTCTACAGGTACCGGAGTATACATTCCATTTGAAAGTTAATCTATCCACAAATACTTAAAATGTAGTTGAAATGATCAACATTTTCAGAATGATACATTCACCACAGGCTACGAATGTCTGACATTCTGTTGTCATCTTGTGATGTGTTCTCTAGCATCTTCAACTTACCTCTGCTGTCTGGGACTCAGTTTCTATACATCAAATGAATATAGAATCTTTCAGACACACCAAGACTTTGCAGATGCTTCTGCAGCTGTAGATGCGTGGTCCTGACCACGCCCCTGGGCCTTCCAAATGTCCCTTCCTGCCATTAAAAATGGTCAGAGAAATACAAGAGCATGCCTTACCGTTCCCCCGTGTATCCTGGACTGCAGTGACATTGGCCTGTGGCAGGATCGCATGTCCCTCCATTATGGCACTGACATTCTTGGGAACAGTTCTTTCCAAAGCGACCCTCAGGGCAAGGCTGACCACACACGGTGCCCTGCATTCAAAGAGACTTGGAAAATTAGATGGGCCCCTAGCCAGAGAAAGAGTGAAGGAAGGGGAGGAAAAGAGAGGAAACGGAAAGGACCAGAGTGTCTGGGAACAGGGCTGCAGGAACTGTAGATTAAGGGAAACTTAGAACATGTAGAGTGTTGATCATTTTAGAAGAAAAGTCACAACTTTTTAAACAGACTTATTTACTTGGTAGGCTCAAATCTTAGGAGACATTCAACATGGCAAATCAGCAGTCATAAGAAAAGTCCATATTAAAAACTGAAGCCTAAGCTACCATTACTGAGTATGGCAACCTAAGGAATTTATAAATCTTCCTAAGCATTCTTCCTTGTGTCTTACATGACAATAAGTCAACTATCCTTACTGAACATCCTTCACATGAATAGCAACATCTGGTGTAAAGGATATCTCCAAATGCTTCACCATGTTCCAGAAAAAAAAAAAAAAAACAGAGAGAGAGGGGAAATGGGAGAAAAGCTAGGGAGGGGGTAACAATGTTTGACAAGAAATGTACTCACTACCTTACCAATGTAACTGTAACCCCTCTGTATAGCACCTTGACAAGAAAATTAAACTATAAAAAATCAGCAAAAATTGTATCATTGGCTTCATTTCTTAAAGTGGAACATAAGTGAAATTTTGTATACCTGAATTATCAATCTCCATCTCTAATAAATAGGTCCTTAGGGGCTGGGAAGGTGGCTCAGTGGTAGAGTGCTTGCCTTGCATGCCTGAGGCCCTGGGTTCGATTTCTCAGCACCACATAAGCAAAAAGAAAAAAGCCGGAAGTGGCGCTGTGGCTCAAGTGGTAGAGCGCTAGCCTTGAGCTGAAGAGCTGAGGGACAGCACCCAGGCCCAGAGTTCAGGCCCCACGACCAGACCCAAAAAAGAAAAAAAGAAAAAAAAAAAAGAAATAGTTCCCTAGGAATCAATCTAGGTATTTATTTCAGAAAAATTAAAGAGATTCAATAAATAAAGAGATTTGAACCTCATAAAGAGGTTCGATAGGCATTTCTGTGCTCAATCAATAGGAAACCTTATTTCCTGAGGAGAACCTCAAGAGAATAACTTGGACATTTCTCAAGAAGTTGCCCATCTTGTCTGGTGAAGTCATGCTATTTATTCTGATCCTATGTAGATTAGAATAAGATACTGAATCAATAAATCAATGAAATATGCTACTATTTTTTTTTACTTCACTTAGTTACATAACTTGCAATTGTAGCTTCTGACTTATTGGAGTTATAGTAATAGAGATGTTTATTGGAGGTATTTATTGGAGTTACAATTAGAGAAAACAACATATCGCACATAATATAATTTTTTTTCTGTTTTTTACTGTCAGAATGTGTTGCTTTGTTGCTGTTCTCTTGAAAGACTAAAAGGCAGACTGTGAGCACTCTGAAATTGGAGGCTAGCGAACAGCAGATGGTTTTGTAAATGTTTATTCTGGATACCATAGGAAATACATTTCCTCTAACTACTGGCTACTCACAGAGGCAGTTGGTGAGCTAATTAAGTCTCCTCTGGTGGTTTCTAGCTATCTGCAAACAGGGAAAGTTCTTCCACAGACTCCTGGAGCTGAAAAAAGCCTTTGAAAGATGGTCCACATTAGTGCTCAATGGAAAACCATCAATGTGCCGGGCCTAGTGCTAAGCACTGAGAATGAAAAATAAAATAAAAATCCCTGGTTAGTTTACAAGGCAATGAGTGGGAGAGCAGAGAGCAGAAAAGCTCTAGTCTCACCATTCCAACACAGTGTAGTATATACTACGTGTTAGGGAAAATACAACTAAAGGAACAACTAGCCAGGGGTCAGTGTGTGGTGAGCACATCTGATGCAAGTTCTGTCTCCCAGGGCCGTTATAAACCCAGCGATAGTGTCGAGACACTGTGTATGAATAAGACTTAATGTGAACAAGTGGCTTCAAGGGGAATGCTTTCTATTCATTAAAGGATGTGTGTGTGTGCACATGTGTGAGCAGGTGTGTGTATATTAAAAGAACACGTGCTTGACCTTTGAAAAAGCACCGAAAATGACAGCATGAATAGTATGTTGTGTATAAGCTGAAAGCCAGATACACACAGAAGGAAAAGGCGGCATGAAGTATTCATGCAGAGAGATCTGTGAAGACCCAGAGCCAGGAGGAAGAGGTGGAGAACGGGCTCCCGCCGTGTGTGGAGGGGTGCATCGTCTGCCTGCTGGACTCTTTGACCCATGTCACAACCACCCCAGGAAACAGCTTCAGCCTCACCATGAAGCATCTTCACGGACATTTACTCTGAAGTCCTAAGGCACTGACAGTTCCTCACCCAGAGTACAGAGCTCTCTGGACACTGACACGCTAGTAAAACTACTTCTCGTGAAGAGGACCCATCAAGGACCAGGACTGGCAAATGTTGACAGTATAAGAACTAGGAAGAGGTAGTTAAGAAGTACTAGAATTCACTCAGATAATTAAAAACAAAACAGAAGACCTGGCATAATGGTATACTCCCACAATCCCAGCTATACAAGAAGCATAGGTAGGAAGATCTCAGACTGAGATCTTCCCAGGATAAAAAGTGCAAGATTCTGTCAAAGGAAATGTCTAAAGCTAATAAGAGCTGAGAAGCATGGCTTCAGTGGTCAAGTAGCTATCTAGCAAGTACAAATCTCTGAGTTCAAACCTCAGTACCACCCAAAAAAAATGGCAGAGGGAGTAAGGAAGTAGAAGAGAAACAAGAGAAATAGAAAGCCTTTACAAGGGACATGACAAGATTAGATTTAGTAATTTTAACTTTGCTGAACTGCTGGACCTCATCCAGTGCTTCTTCCACAGCTCCCTTTCATCCTCAAGAACGAAACAAGTCTGCTTCTTCCTTTACCTTTAGAGTCGTCCATGCTTTGATTCTCGCATCAGACTCTCACCAAGTCACCATTTCTGATCTTCGTTTGGGTTCTTATATAGTCATTGTACCCTTGACCTCTTGAACACTCTCTTACTTCCCAAGCGTCCTGGAAACTGGAAACTGACTCCAGTTCTCCTTACAGTGGGGAAAGGAGGAAGATCAGACACACGCCTGGGAAATGTTACGATGAAGTAGTGTTCAGAAGAATGGAGGATCAGAGGACATGGAGGTGAAGGAAAGTGGGTTGGCTGTTCGTAGGTCAAAGCCTTGGAAAAGTGAAGCCAGAAGAAAACAGAAGAATCCTGGGCAGATCTGATTACTAAGCTGTCACTTGAACTTCTGCAGGAACTCCAATACCCCATGGAGAGAGAAGATGATGATGAACTAAGCTTCTCTTAAGTAGATTGAAGTGAAGAGGTTCCCACCTCTTCCTTTATACATACAGATGCACAAAGCAAGCCAGAAAGATAAGAACCAACGTTATTTTCTGATTTTAGAGAAGTCCATTTAGTAATGCTTTAGCATGGTGTGTTTTATGTTGCACTAAGACTATGAAATCCTAGTTTATGTGTGGGAAGGACAGTGAGTTATAGTTTCTTATATTAAGATCCAGTGGGTTCTGAGACATTTTGTAATATTTGCTATACTCCGTTTTCCTTAAAGCATCTCCACGCTTACATGACTGGATAACTTTATTTCACGTAACACTTGTGTGTGGAGAATAATGTTCTCAAAGCACAACAGCAATCCACAGATGCAATGATGCAAATGATTCTCAAATACACCCAGTGTCTATCAACTCTACCGGTCATCTGGGAAACCAGATAATTTGCTTCTTTCTTTTGTCCTCAAAAGAAAGGCAGGGTGCATGGGCCAGTACACATGAGGGTCCTCACTGCAATTAATGCACCAGGAGAAGATCACGTTCTGTCTTCTCTCCACTGAAGGATGCTAGATTTCAAGGGCTTAGTACTTGCAGTTTGGGAATCTCTGACCACTCCAGCTACTTCACCTGAAGTGTCTTGGAATGTATGACTCTGGGCGGGGCCAGCGGGGGGGGGGGGGGGTTAGGGCGGGAGGGGGGAAACTTACCATCCAGCCAGAAGGGCAAGAGCATTCTCCGGTGACATGGTGACACACTCCCCCATTTTGGCAAGGACATCTCTGCTCACACTGTGGCCCATGCTTCCCAGGGGGACAAAGATCCTCACAGCTAAGGGATTAAGAAGGATGACAAAGGATACCATCATTTACTCCGTCATATGATTCTTAGGTTCATACACAACAGCACCAGGAACCCTATATTACACTTTTCCTTACCCAGTAACTATTCATTTAATTAACACGAAAAGCACACATCATATTGCCTAGAAGTGTCTTTGAGGGGCCATGCAGTCCTGTTGTTGATGAACCATTTGTCCTATCTGAGAGCATCAAAGAAGAATGGTCATGTATCCACTGACAAAAGGAACTTTCTATGTGTGTTACTTTGCTTTGTGTGTGTGCTCTAGCCTCCAAGATAGAAATTTGCACATATTTATCATCAATTATCAGACTTCTCATCTCCAAATAACTCTATTTCCTCTAAGCCTTATCTCCCCCCTCCCCCAACCCGCTGTCCTGGGGCTTGAACTCAGGGCCTGGGTACTGTCTCTAGGCCTCTTTGTGCTCTACCACTCTACCACTTGAGCTATAACACCACTTCTGGCTTCTGAGTCCCACGGACTTTCCTGCCTGGGCTGGCTGTGAACTACAGTCCTTAGATCTCAGCCGTTTGAGTAGCTAGGCTGACGTGTGAACCACCTATGGCCCAGCAAAGCCTGGTCTTTTTGCTCTCCTGGGAAATTGCACCACACTTCCCTCCAAGTCCTATTCAATTGGGGCCTTGATGGAAAACCCATCAAAACAATATTAACAATTAAACAGTTTGAGATGATCATCTATTCTTCTAAAATTAGGGCTTTCTAGGCTAATGCAGTTTTCCCCTTAGCTCTACTTCATAGGCATTAACACGGCAGGCAGGATGTATTTACCTAATCAGCTACATTTCCCCCCAAGTATTAGTTCTGTGATTTACAAGTATAATTTTCTCAGTAAGGGAACTAGATTTTTCTCTCTTTAACTTTTTTTCCCCCTGCAAATTCTGCCTTTTATAATGTCTGCTAATAGAAGCAAACCCGCCAATGCCCTTCCTGCAAAGTAAAGTAGTGTGGATGAAGTCGTGGCTCTGATGATACCTGTACATCTTTATTCACAAAGCAACTTAAGTGTCCACAATCTCGATAGGCTGTTTTCATGGACAGTGGGTGGCATCTTCCTGTCTGGCTCTTTCCTGAGGTCCTGAACACACCCAATTTTCTCCACTTAATAATAATGGTTGAACCCAAGCCGGCCTGCTCACCAGCCACAGCACGATGCGATGTGACTGTGCAGGAACTCAAGTGTGCCCCGACCCGCCCCCCCCATCGGGCCCCGACCCCCGGGCGGCCGGGCCGCTGCCCTGCGCCCTGGGCGCACGGCGGTGCCCAAGCGCGCGGGCCGAGCGCGGCGCTCACTCACAAGGCTCCGGCGAAGCCCGGCGGGCAGCGGCACGCCCCGGTGGCGTGGTCGCAGGTGGCCCCGTTCTGGCACTGGCAGCGCTGCCGGCAGTCGTCGCCGTAGGAGCCCGGCTCGCAGCGCTCCTCGCAGCGCCAGCCGCGGAAGCCCGCCGCGCAGTGGCACGCGCCCGTGATGGGGTTGCAGCGCGCGCCGTTCCGGCACTGGCACCGGCTGCTGCAGTGCGGGCCCCAGTGGTCGCCGTCGCAGGCTGGGGACAGAGACAGAGGTCAGGGTCATAGGCTGGGGATGGAGATCGAGGCCAGGGTCGCAGGCTGGGCGTGGAGACATTGATACGGGGGGCATCGGAGTTGGGGTGTGGATCCCGGCGGGGTTCAGAGCCAGCTTCCCTCCACAGGGCGAGGTTGGCCGGCACCTCAAAACTATCCCTTAGCGCCACACCTGTGTTCTACCACCAACCCACGAGGACACCAAATGGGCTGGGCCTGCTCCCCCCCCCCCGCACCCCCGGGCCTCCTCTTCACCCCTTTACCTAAACCCCACCACTCCAGCTCCCTAAGCCCAGGCTGGAGGTGGGAGAGCCTGCCGAAGGGTGGGGGCCGGCCAGGGGAGGACGCTGGGGAGGAGGGGAGGCGGCATCAGGCATCAGGAAGGACCCACAGGGAGTTCTGTGCTCAGGGAACCGTGTGAATCACAGCCTGTGGACCAGGGTTTGGAAGGGAAGGGTTTTAAGAAAGGGAGGGAGGGGAAGATTTCTTTCTCTCCCAGAAAGGATGGGAAAGAGCAGGAAGAGGCTGCTGGTGAGAGGTAGTAGGGGTGAAGCTACAGTTCAGTCAGTAACAGAGGCCGGAATCCAGCCGTGACAGGGACTCAGGAGCGGGGCAGGTCAGGCTGCTACAGACTAGGTTCTTCTAGGGGGAAAACTGGGTCTGCATTCAAGAGATCAAGCAAAACGTGTGTGACCGAGTCACTCTGATTACTTCCAGAAGAAAAGACTGGGGGAAACAGACTAACATCTTCAAATTTACTGACCTATTTTTTAAAAAGTAGGACAATCCTAAGCTGAAAAAGGAAAACAAGAAGAAAGAGAATAGACACACACAGCCAGCTAAGACAAGAACAGATGAAAGGTGAAATTCAAGCCCGACTTGCAGGGAAAAGGAGGGATGGATGCAAAAACCAGTGAATTAGGAAGAAAATCCTAAAAATTCTCAAAGGCTGACAATAGATCTCAAAAGATATTTCCTGGCCAACAGTACATTTATTTATTTATTAGATGCCATAAAACCACTAGGGAAAATACACCCTACTTAGAGCTCTTGGGATAAATTGCATTTATGCCTTTTTTAAAAAGTTGTTTCATTAAACTTTTTGTAAATTCAGCAGATTTCAAATAGCTACTGTAAAAAAAAAAACTTTAGGTACATAGCAAGCATCTTATTTCAAGTGGTGGCATACATCTATAATCCCACTGACTTGGGTGGCAGAAATGGAGGGATACAGTCTGAGGCCGAGGATAAGAGCATGAGATCCTGTTTGAAGAACAAATTAAAACTTAAAAGGACTCAGGTTATGGCTTAAATGGTAGAATCACACAAAGCTCAGGTGCCCAATCCTGGATACCAACATGTAGGATCCATCTCCCAATGTTAGAATCTACCTCTACTTTCAAAATACCAAAAGGTTTAAATGAATAATTCTATATTTAATCAGTATGGCTTTGCTCTCATTAGTATTTTAATAAACACACTTTAACAGAATTAAAAGCAATGAGAGAGAATTATTGAACTTAAAGCAGATCTAGAAAGCAATCACCTAAGAACCCACAATCTTCTTTCATAAAAATAAGATTAGATGGTGATTGCAAAATGAGAATTAAGCTTAATTGTTATTCCTGTTGGTTGTTTCTTTTATTGTCTATGGATAGTTTGACACAGAATTATTTTTTTGAGGATTGTAACTCTTGTGATCTAGAGTGTTAAGAAGTTATAGTCTACATACTGCAACCTTAAAACTTTTACTTCTTTTCTATCAGTTTGTTCACTTCTGCTCATCTCCGCTGAACTTTCTCAAAGTTTCCATTCTTTTTCTCAAGGCTAGCTCTCTACCATTTAAGCCACAGGGCCATTTCCAGCTTTATTGGAGATAGGAGTCTTGTATACTTTCCTGACCTAGCTGGTTTGTAAAATAATCCTTAGATCTCAGCCTCTTGAGTAGCTAGGATTATAGGCATGAACCACCAGTGTCAGGATCAGAATCTGTTTTATAAAACCTGTTTTATAAAAACAGAAGAGTAGTAGAAAGAAGCTGGGTGCTGGTAGCTCATGCCTGTAATCCTAGCTACTCCCGAAGCTGAGACCTGAAGATCACGGTTTGAAACCAGTCTCTGAGACTCGTATGTCTAATTAACCACAAAAAGCTGGAAGTGGAGCTGTGGCTCAAGTGGAAGAATGCTAAGCTTTAGCAGAAAAGCTCAGGGACAGTGCCCAAGCCTTGATTTCAAGTCCCATAACTGACAAAAAAAACCCAAAAAACCCACAAAACTCAAAACAACCAAAAAACAGAGGAGAGGTAGAAAGAACCAGAGACATGGAAATAACAGAGCCGGTCCCTTCTTTTTTTATGAGCCTTTTCTAAACCCTACCAACAGCTTCTAGAAAAGCAAGCAGAGACCAAATCTATCATTTTGGGATTAGACAAAAACAGAGCAGGGAAGGAAGAGGAGCTGGGGGGGGGAGGGGGGGAAGGGGAGGAAGAGAAGGAGGAAGACCTTAAAATCTTAAACGATCCCATTATGCTCAGAATGTGTCTATAACAAACACTGATAATTATCAGCAAAAAGAGAAGGGTTTCAGGATTCTAAAGAAATGATATTCTGCTGACATGGTTCATTTCCGGGCTGTATCTCACCACTGTGGTATGCTTTGAAGTGACAGCTCCCGGCTTTGGGCTGTTCTTTCCTATGGAAGGCCACTGATACATGGATCTCACAATGCAAATACTGTGTCTGAACATGAGTGCTCTGGGAAAACATCATGGACATAGACAAGTTTCTAGATAAATATGTGGGAAGTCAGATAAGTAAGGACCCCGAGCCTGGGTGTCAGACATTACAGGGACTGCTTTGCCTTCTTTTGCTTGTCACAGCTGGCTACTTCAAGATACTCATTCTTAAAAGCATCCAAGTTACATGGTCTGCAGCACAAAAGCCAGCTTTCTTCCCTGAGTCCTGCAAGTTCTAGGGTACAATGACTTTGTCTAGACAAGACTCAGAAGTTGTTTGTTGTGTTTAGTGCAGAATTTGACTGGTTTGCCTCCATTGAAGCACCATGTTTGAGCAGAGAGTTTGGGGAGGCTTTAAATGAAAATGGGTGGCATCTTATTCTTAACACTTTAATCTCAAAGGGAAAGAGTTCCACTGTCTCAGAGAAAATGAGGGGTTGGTTACTCCCACTGACAGCTTGAAAAATAATGTCATTAACATAGGAATAGTTTTAGCATCCTAATAGGAAAACATTAAGAAGTAGAGTAACAAAATTGTATTTCAGATTAAGTTGGAAGGAATCTGAACACTGGTAGTGACTGGTTTCGGCTACTCATGTGCTAACCACTGGGAATCGACTCCTAGGTGCTACATGATCTCATTTGTGCAGATGTTACAGGAGACAGCCCAATGAGGCTCTCAGACAGGCACGGACAGCTTGCTCTAAGAAGCTCTCATAATCATTTGGAAATAAAAGGAATTTAAAACTACCATGAACATCACCAGTAGATAAGCCATGCTTCCAGCCCCAGTATAAACTAGTAAAGAATTTCTTTCAGAATCAGGAGCTCGTATTTGGAACCCTTGTGGCTGGAACATCCAATAACCCCAGGAAAGATGGGCTGCCTTCTTGGGTTCCATACTGTAATTCGTTCAGTTGAATGTCAGACTTGGAGTTCAAAGATGAACAACAGAGAACACACTTCCTGGAGGATTTGGCTTAGTGATGACTGACAACACAATGGTAGGTATGAAATGCTGTGGAGTAAGCAGTAAGGTAAGGGTATGGACTAGGTACAATGAGAAAACCATGAAGATAGTTAACCATGGATGTGCGGGGGCAGGGCCTATGGGAAGTATTACATTTGCAAGAATGATACAACAGTGACCTAAAAGTCCATGAACTGCATCTTGGGCTTTGTTGTCTTCTTTAGCTGTGTGCATGGAAAAAAGGGAGCAGATAAAAGGTATAGACTCAGAACAAGATAGTAGGACTCTACTATCACTACTTCTAGCTCCCTCCATCTGTCCTCTCCAATCTTCCAAATGAAGCTGAAGAACTTCTGTCCTTCAGGCACATTGTGTGTGTGTGTGTGTGTGTGTGTGTGTGTGTGTGTGTGTGTGTGTGTGTGTGTGTGTGTGTGTGTGTGTGTGTGTGTGTATGCCAATACTGAGGCTTGAACTCAGGTCCTTGGCACTATCTCTTAGCTTTTCCTCTTGAGGCAGGTGCTCTACCCCTTGAACCACAGCTTCATTTCTGGTTCTTGTTGTTTAATGGCGATAAGAATCTCATGGACTCTCCTGCCTGAGCTGGCTTTGAACCACTATCCTCAGCTCTCAGCTGTCTGAGTAGCTAAGATTATGGACATGAACCATTGGCACTCAGCCTTCAGGGCCAGTTTTGAGACCCGACATTATCTTTGTAAATAATACTATCTACTTCGCTTGCCTCTCACTTTGCATTTAGATCACAGTTTTTATATGTTTGCCTGTTTCAGATCATGCAAATGAAATTATCACAGACACTGGCACACATTGATACTCTTTTTTGATTGCAGCTATAGTCAATAAACACATTATGACAGTCATTTACTTGACAATAGTGGTTGGACATATTCTGATTTCAACATTGTTAAACTGTGAAAATTTGTGTCCTGTCATCCACAAATAGGATGTTCATGGTGTTGAGACTAATATAATGACACCGTATCCCTTCTAATTTTGTGGAAAGCAGTGCTCTTATGCAGTTTGACAGGAGACAAAATTGCTAGTCTTTGTAGAGTTTGCTCTGGCTATGTGTATCAAGAGCCTTTTACCTGGAATTCTCTTTTTGAAGATTTTTTTTCCAAAAGAAATGAGCTTACAAAGCTTATGTTTGTAAAGATCAAAGCATTTCATAATTCCTAAGTGCTTACCTCCTCAATAATACTTAGCTGTGCTCACCATTATGTTCTAAGCATTTGCGATGGATTAACTCTGAGTGAGCC